TATGGTGTAGAATTGCAAATACACATTTGAAGATATTTATTCTAAACTGTGATTAGCTTCGCCTTCAGCGCTGTAATCTCTCTGCTTGAGAAAATTCGGACAGGTAAAGCAGAGGGCTACAGATGCAACCTTTGTAAAAACCTCGAAGGTTTTTACAATGCTTGAATCTGTAGCTGTCTGCTTTATCTGCCTGAATTTTCTCAAGCAAACTAAGTTGATTTATTTTTGATCTTGGTGAACGGTGTTGCCGTGGGTACTAAAAATAGAAATTTCTGTGAAATACTTTGAAAATGCTACTCCAAATACAGTTTAAGTCTGATTATAATATAATTTGGCATGCAAGTAGACAACACTAAGATACATAATTATCAGTATTGTGTTTTTGATTTTGATGATTGATGTTGCCATGGTAACTAAAATTGAAAATTCTGTAAAGTTTCATTAAAAGCTACTCCTACAATTGTAGTCTTATTGCAATCTTGCCTCAAAAAGAGACTTAATCAAGGATCATTATTCTATTTATTGCTTTTGTAAAGTTTTAAGTCCCAACTGTTACTTTTCTCTTCCTTTATTATAAGTATAAACCAGTAGAGCTACTGTCTTGACAGAGACTTCTGGTTTTCTTTAAAACTGAATACTGTAAAAGCACAAATATTTGTGGGGTATTACATTTCGTTTATTTTGTTGTTAACAAAATTCCACGAAATTAAATCCTACACAAATTTTTTTATGATTATACGAGGGTTTTTAAAAAAGTTCGTGGACGGTGTAATTTTCTGACAAAACGACAAAATTTTTGCCACAAAAATTTTGTATATTACATTAAATGATAATATATTTTGAAATAATATGCAAAATTTCAGTCAGTTTTACTTACATTTATTAAAGTTATACCAATTTTTGTGATACATTGTCAATGCACAGCCAAGGGAGCAACTGTGGCGATAATTTTTATGGACGTCTTTACGTCGCTATGTTTTATGAATAATCTTGCATCTTCTTAAAAACTCTTTCAATGCGACGATCCACCGATTTTTTTCATCAAAGAAATTTCGGCACCAAACGAGTACAAACCTTTTCAAATCCAAGATATTTTGTGATTATTTCATACGCATAGACGTCTTATTTCAAATTTATCCGATTTATCTCTTAAAACTAATCTTCTATCTTTGTCAAGATCTTGTAACATTGACGCCGTCAAGTAAAATCAATAGGTGGAGGTCTTTCCAAATTGCAAGTTTAATCACATACCTTCTTTAATTCGTTTATACAACTTGTACACCATTCATCTTGATACTTTTTTCCTTCCCCAAGTTCATCTAGCTATATTGTTTTGTCTCAAAAAGTCTTCCAGCTACCATACAAAATTACATCACAGCGCACTGCTTTGTTTGTAACATTCTATTGGCCGTTTTCAACGGTGAATCAGCACAGTATTTCCAGTAAATAATAAATTATGAATCGGTAAGCTACAGAACCACTTGCTTTAAATAACTTTTGAAACTTCTCAAATATGACGAGTGCATGTTATTGTGACTTCATATTTAATATCATAGATTTTGTGCGCATAATCTAAAACAAATTTTGTAATTTATCGACTTAGAATATTCATATACGGAAAAGTAATTCCACCCCTTTCTAAAGAAATTAGAACGGCTTTAAAATTTTTATTCAATGGACCCCAAAATTGAAAAGTTGTATTTTTACATGGAAACATGGTATAATAAAAGTATATAAAGTTTCACTTCAAACATACAAATACAGCGGTCAGTACCGAACCCGTCCACGAACTTTTCGAACAACCCTCGTATATTGAATAGGGTTACTTTTAAAACAACGAAATTAAATGCCCACGAAACTATTTTTGTTGACAAAACAATGAAATTTTATGCCCACAAAAATTTGTGCTTCTACAGTAATTACATTGACTACATCTTTAGTAGTATAGAGTAAATGATCTCTTTCTTTCCCTTTCAGAGGGCCACAATTCAATTTACTTCATGCAAAGAGTAGATTGTATAGTAAGCCAAGGGTAGCATTGGAGGATAATGTCCTATGGACCTAATAACAGTAGAACTTGTACCATGTATTGCGGGCTATGCAGCAAATTAAATAGAAGCAGGTAACTTACAGTAATCTATATGTGTTGTAGTGTAAGATACATGGCATCCTACTAGCCTGGGCTAGTGGGTTAACCATTTCAATCGGTAGAGCACTGGATTGGCAAGCCAGAGGCCCCGGCTTCAATCCCCAGCCGAGGCACAAAATTGTCTCTGTTACATTTGTGTATAATATAGTAAAACTTGTCTTATCTGGAGTATTCCAGACTCTTCATACAAGTTTCTGTGTACAATAAACGATTCAAAGAGTTCCAAATTGCAATATGGTAAATAAATTTGAAGCAAGAAAAATACATATCTGTTAATTTTTTCTTCTTTGGTAAACATCAAGTCTATTTACCTGGGTAGTTGTAAACTTGTAAAATTCTCAGACAACTACTTTTGTAAGAGTTATCTGTCTTTGTTTGTAACATTCTATTGGAATTTTATGTTGTATCAGCACAGTATTTCCAGTAAATAATAAATGAGTAAATACAACTTACAGTTATATGCCACTGTAAAAACTTTTGCTCCACAAGCCTTCATGAAAATTTACAGTGCTAGCTTCTGCTGCTTTTCTGTTACAGGTGATGGTACAATTTAAAGACTTATAATTTTTGTCTTCAACTTGGATGGAAAAGTAATTCCATGCTGGAAAATTTGTATGGTCTGATGTGTACATTGGTCTGATTTCAATAAGCACACTAGTTCATCGGAAGTGACGGTGTTGCCATGGTTAGTAAAATAGAATTCTCTGTGAAACAAAATGCTACTCCTTCTACAGATTTTTTGATTTCAATATAATTAAGCACACAAGTAGATCACTAAGATACATAAATGCAATCGGTTTTTGATTCCATAGTCATGCATTCTCTGTAAACTTTTGAAGATTTTCAGCTTCTTCTCTGGAACCACTGAACCAGTTTCAACCACCATGTCAGGGTTTGAAATTCACTATGTTGGCACACATGTTATTATTACACAAAGTACATAAAATAGTTAAAATATTTTTAAATCACAAAAATTTGTGAGTTGATTTTTTCATTATAATTTTCACCAAGGAAAGAAACGTCTTTTTCAATCCGCTTAATCTTTTCTCTTTAGTTCCTGTTTATATCTACCATTTTTAAATGAATGAGCATGTGCCATTTGATGATCATGTTGAAAATTACAAATTTTTTAAAGATGGATAGATGGCTGTTTATTTTTGAAAAGCTTTCATTTTAAAATTGCTAGTTGTCTTTTAAAATTCATTATTGCCAGTTCATTTTTACGGTACTTGCAATTACTTGCGAGTTATGATTTTAGGGAGTTTCTACCCCTGTATGCATGTAGTTGTAGTATCTATTGATGAAGGGGAACAAGAATTGTGTATAATAATATGATGAGCATGAATCCTGTTTCAAAATAATTAAGTATTTGCCTCTACTTGTTTAGGGGTTTAGGTACAAGAGTTTTGTTGATCATTTAGTAAATATGTGAGTATTCTCCTCTGCTGCAAAGGTACGGTACATAATTTTGATAATGAGAGTGCAGGATTTCATTAATCCTTCAAAATTATGAAATTCATGGCCCCTGGCCTGTGATTCACTGTAAGTTTCTGGAATTGGGCATGGCTCCTTTGATTTTTAGTGAAATTGATTAATTCTTTGGAAAACCTTTATTCTGTTTATGGGAATGAAGTAGACAAACTACCGGTAAGTGCAAATTTATAACAAGTAAGAGTGTTTCTTCCAAATGTTGGCTTCTGGGATGGTGGGGATGAGATGGGGGTTAAAGGGGTAGAAACTCCCTAAAATTATAACTCGCAAGTAATTGAAAAAAGGGGGGAAAATCAACTCCCAAATTTTTGCGAGTTACAAATATTTTAACTCACAATTTGGATATTCTAACTCGCATTTTGCAAGTTGTTTATAGTGAATTTCGAACCCTGGGTTCTAGTGATTATTTATGCTTTGGAAAATCTTCTCTTCTCTAGATCTGTAGTAAAGAAAATCTAAATGCATATTTTGTTGATCATTGTCATTGATAATCCTTTTTCTTTTGAGTTTCAGTTGTTTTGATAAAATTATTTACTACTAAATGGATCCTTTACAGGACTGTGTTATACTCAGGTGACTGTTAAAGCCTTTGAGCCTTTTGTTACATAAAATTTGATGCCTTTAATTAATTAAAAATATCTAATCCAAAGATATTATAAAGTGAAAAAAAAGGTCTAAGCCTTTTTTTTTTACTTTTAAAACTAACCTTTAATTGACTTTTGACACAGAGGTTGACAAATAATTTCTTTTTCTTTCTTTCTTTAGACTTTAGGGTAAGGGGGTAGGGATACTTATGATTTTCTTATATAACTTTACAGATAGTTATATCATATTTAAAATTTAATCAGTTTGAAGCATGTATTTATATTAATGTGTTTGAAAAGTTCAAATGTCACAACTAGGTATCACTAACCTTGACCTTTGACCCAAGATTTGTGATGAAAATTTGGTGAACTTCACATATAAGTAAAGAGATAATTTCATAAATTGCCACTGCAGTTTCCCTGTTCTTGACATCATAACCAGGTCATTTCAAATTTTTTACAATTATTTTAATGGAAATATTTCACTGCCTGAAGACTATGATTTTACTGATGTCATAAATTGATGAAGTAACTTGAATTTGTCTGTAAAATGAACATATCTTAAAGCCAGATGTTTCAATACTTATTATACAATATCTTGTTTAAAGTAAACAGATTTCTGAATGACATTTTTGATTTGATTATTTACTTACAGAACCACGTTACAAGAATGAATACAGTATATCTTATTGACGCAAGCTTAAAGCATTAGTCGGAAATATATTACACAATGGACTGAAGAGTGGGGTAAGTAAGTAAAATATTGCAGGCTCTTTGTTAATGATTTGTAAATGGCTTTCTCTTCTGTAATTCCAGTTTGTCGATATATCAGCTGCCTCCAAATCGTAGACCCAAGACATTTAAATCTTGCCATGACTTGCATTCACATAAGCGTGTATGGAACAGGTAAAAGGCTTTTTCAATACAGCAGTGGTTGTGCTAGGTTTTAAAGTATTTTAAACCCAGGATATGCCCTGCTACTAATTATGACTACCTGCTCCACATAAACAGTAGGTATACCCCGTAGTTGGACGCCTGTCAACTTACGACATTCGGGGTGATTAAATTAGGAGTCGCCACATTAAAGCTTCTTCTACGTATGGGACAGCTGAATATTAAGTTTGTTGTGAGAATCTATCATTTGGAGGATCTTTTTTCTTTAATTCTGTTGTGAAATCTTTCTTTGGATTATTTAATAACACAGGTAGGATGTTTATGTTGGCAGAAAATTTATTTTTAAGATTCTATCTCAGTACATAATTAATGTCAGGTATATCCACTCAGACAATTGTTCCTGAACATAGGACTGTGATTGGTAATCAATATCGGGGAGAATTGAATGTATTTTATGACACTTCTGTGGTAATGTTAGTATCTGTTAATGCTAGACTTCAGATATTCCCTTGTCTATAATATCTAGGTAGGGTATATTCTCTATTGGAGGTCTGTAATTGTATTTTATTCATAAACCATTTTTTCACCTGACTGCAGCTTTTGTTTCTATGGAATATACCAGGGTTAAGCACTGCATGTGTTTACCTGTTTGTTAATCAATTAATTGTTGATGGGAGAAATGGAAATCCAATTATTAGATATAATTAATTTTAATGATCACTGTGTTCAGGGGGTGTGTAAAAACAGCAGGGGAGTTTAATTATAGGTTGGGAATTGTTTAGACAAGTTAGGTAAGACATTAAATCTTTTTCCATTGAATTGGATACTATCAATATATTATTGCTTGCAGTCTTTTAAATATTCTGAAATGTTTTGAATAATTTAAGCAATAACAATAGCACTGTATCTACAACTGAACTGAGAAAATGTTAATGGTGAGAATCACCTGTAATTTGAGAACCATGTTTAGGAGAATCGACAGGGCACTCCTCTACTTTGTAAGAAAACACCAGATAGATATATGTCAATATAAGTAAATTCCTTGTCATTCCCTCGGTGCAGTAACTTTAAAGGTCTTGTTATCTTCAGGTGTTTTGGGACGCATGTAACTCTGGCATTGTGCCTTTTTTGGGAGGTGAAAGTGTTATGCCATTCCATACCATTCTGGCTATTTATCAAGGTGTTTTCAGTTTTGAAGGTGTGACATTTTGTTATCCAAAAGTGATAGTCTAATTGTTTTCTGATAAGAGGCATAATCAAATCTTATTGAAAGAAATTGAAGAGCAATTGTAAATATACTTATAGAAAGTACAAGTATTAAAACTGTTGTTTAGATTATATATGTGTGTATTAGGTCTGGGATAATACACCCTTTTCTATGTTGATAAATATCACGAGATTTGAGCCTCAGTTGGTCTGATTTATATCTCCATATGTGTAATTGACTGTAAAAGTTTTAATTTGATAATGATCAAAATAAAATAAAATAATTCTGCACAAATATAAATGATTTATTCTGACAGAGTAGCTGTTTATCAATCTGTTGAAAACAAAGTCTGAAATGCCATATGTTTTAATAGGCATTGCATCAGTAAATGTATTGATGGATATAAGTATTTTCCACAAACTCTATAATATTGATAAATCATTCCAGTCATTTGATATATGTATGCAAAGATAGATATAGGTTTAAAAAAAAAACACATCTAATTTACATATCACACAATGTGTATTATTGATCATTAAACTGAATCTGACTTGCATAACATTAAAGAAAAAAAAATGTTTACAAACAGAAGTGAATTTGAAATGAAAACAAAGCATAAATACTGCAATTTTGTTTTGTTTTTTTTTGTTTTTTTTCACAACAAACGTCCATTTTTAAGTGGGGGGGGCTATCCCTGGTGTTTAAATGCAATTAAATAATCAATTATAAATTAAATAAACAATAATTTTAACATGAACTGTTATATTAAAAAATTGCATAAAAACATTCACGGCCATGCTCTTGCACGATATTATTTTAATGATCTCTGCTTTAAACAATAAAAATTTGCTTTAAAAAAAAATGTTTACAAACAGAAGTGAATTTAAAATGAAAACCTTTTTTTTACAATATCCTATATGCACACACAGAGTCTTTATTTCATAACTGCACATTTTGTAGCTAAACTGTACATAAAAAATTATACAGGCCAACAGTACATTCATTCAACATTGTAATGGTCACTTTAGGTCACTTTCTACCAAACTACTTCAATATTGATAAAATACTGCAACCTAGCTGTGCTATGTATGGATGATCTATTAATTGCTTCAAGTTGACTGTCTCTGAGTCTGGACTGGTTGTAGTTGAACAAACCAAGATGCAGGGTTGTATACTAACACTATAGATGTTTTACTAGTGTATAGTCATGTCCATCTTTCAATCTGTCAAGTCAATATTAGACTTGTACTTAGATGTGTATAGAATGAGTGACTCACAGACTAGATGACCGAAGAGGTAAACAAGATACACGGCATGTTTGTCACTTTAATTGAAAAATTGATTACTTTCTAATAGGTGCATACCAGTACATGTAAACTATTCATTGAGTTATTATTTTGTCAGGAAAGATTCAATGTATGTTCCTACTTTTTTTTTCAATTCTACATATGTAAGTAATGAATGTTTTTTAGACTGTTTCCCTTACTTTGACAAAACTTTTGTAAATATGAATATCTTCTTTAAACTGTTTCCAAGTATATTTTGAATTTAAAAAAAAGATAGCTTTTAAGTGCATTTCAACCCTGATGAATTCTCAGAATTATGAAAGTTGGTGACGTTTTTGACTTGATGGGGATGTGCTATCTATAAGTACTTGTTGCTATTGTATGAGTTAGGGCCAGAGTACGCCGCATTGATTAATTAGGCAACAATTATATCAGACTGCTTTGTATGTTTAATTAGGATTTATGTTTCAATAAATGCACCAAAATTAATAAGTCTAACAATGCTTAAGATAGAAAGCTTTTAATTTTCTGTCAGGAACAATTTCACATGCACCTGCCCAACTGCAAATGCTTTTGTGTAGATATGACACAAAAAATCACTTGGAATTAATAACTGACTATCTACACAATATACAACCCATAGGCCAGAAATCATGGCATCTCTTAGTTACCATATATCCAACCAAATAACAGTGCATCATGGGAATCTCTGCATAGAGTGATATAAATCTGTATCACTTGGAGTGGTACTTGAGAAGGGTGTTGATTGGAGGCAATGTCAGTTTTAGCAGATATACTGGCCCCTGTTATACTATGGAGGGCTATCTCTTTATCAATACTCTCCACTGTGTATGGAGTGGCTCTTTATGCGACTCTTCCACTTCGACAAGTTTTCATGTAATGTTATATTTCTTCCTTTGTTTAACATCCAGACAGTTAAATGAAGTGTTTATGGAAGGTCAAGTTGAGGTGTTTTGCAAGCACTAGTTTCTTTTTTTCTGTCGTTGATGGGGATTTTTTTTTATTTCATCACGAAAATTTAGTAGAAGCAAGTCATTATAGACTTACTGGAACCATCTGATGTAGGTTAGATTTTATTTTATGGGGGTTGGGGTGGGGGGGAATACTGATTAGAAACCATCTGTCTGCATGTAAGACATAAGACATCCTCTTTTATTTGTTTCCAAAGATTGAAATCTGATTCTTAAAGGTGTTTGGAACAGTGCATACAAATTTGAAGAATAACTTGAAGTGTACATTTACCTGGAAATTAATTCAGTGTCATAGAACCAAGATGGGAACTTATGTATGTCAAATTGAAGATGTTCCCCTTGAATAAGCTAAATTATACAAATAGATTATTTGTAAACATCTTGATGGAAAGATGCATGGTTTCATCCTCATGTGGATCCTCCTTCATCAGCTGTTTCGGTGCTGTCCACTACAGCCTCCAGAGATGTGCCGACTGGGGTGATCAAGTCCCAGCCTGGAACCACTTGGCTCTACATCACTGCTTTCTACTTTACTGTCTATCTCACTACTGTTTATTGTCTTTCCACTTCTCTACTCTTCTTCTCCACAACCACATGGATGCTGATTCCGTCTCCCTGCACAGACTCCCTATCAATCTCCTTCTCTCTGCTCCCGTTATGCCAATGTCTCTCAGTGCCCTCCACAAAGGCTGCCCCACTAATCCTCTACAACTCACTTCCACTGCAAAAAACCAGACCTCACATCTATTCTGTTGACAATCCTTCAGAAGGTCTTGGTACTTCAGATTTTTCCTTTTTTTATGCATCCTCCATCCTATCTTTCCATGGCACTGTTAATTCCAAAATAATTGTCTGTCTTGTAGCCATTGACCAAAGGACTATATTCTGCCTCTTGTTTGTGGCTATTATTTCAGATGGAAATACTAATCTTTCCTTGAGGTCTATGCGCATCTGCCAATCTGTTGCTGTCCCCCAGGACTTTATGTCCTTCTTCACCTTCTTCCACAAAGTTAACAAATCTCAGTATACTGGCTAGGACTCTATCATGTCTTCAAGTGTATTTGTCATCTTTCAAAGCCTCTGAGCAAGCTGATAATATATACTCCAAGTTTGCTGGTTTACCATCCCAACTTCAATTGATATGCATTTTCTCAGTTCACCCAGCTACCTTGTTTCTTCATTCCAACTGCTTTCACCATTCTTGAATCTTCCACCATTTGCAAGCACTCCTTTCTGCACCAAACTGCGCTTCTCTTCTACTGAAGCTGTCCTCCATCTTGCTGTTGGTGTGACATCAAGCCCTTGCCTTCCTATTGCCAGTCTTCTTCCCACAATGTCACAGTGTCTCAAGCAGGATTCTGCTTCTTCTATAGTTTTTTTTTTAATATAGAAAATGACTCTATTTCTAAGAGAAATATATTAGTGAAAATTATTTTTTTTTTTTTTTTTGTAGTGTAAAATTGTTTGTTTTTTCCTCCATTTTTGCAAGTAATTAATATATGTCAATAAATATAGCTAGAAATGGAAATAGAGCAAGATTGCATGGCTTTAAAATTCATTTCTGAAGTGCTGGGTTAAAGTCAGAATTAATATACTCCATTTAGAGTCCATTGTAGCATCTAGATATACCTTAAGTAAGGTTAAACTGATTTGGCTGAATAGGAAATTTAAAAAGTTTAGGAATTAATGTGTTATAAACCAAAATAAGATTGCCAAATTTGGGTATTATTACAATGCTAAGAGTACTTGGTTTGAGTATTGACAAATTCTGACAAGGATTAATGGGATATTTCTACCCTTAAAGTTGGCACTATGTTGGAGTGAAGTTGGTGTAAACCAGATTGACTTACAAAGGAGATTTTTTGGTATGTCATGCTTTAATCTTTTTTTTTTTTTTGTATATGTCATGCTTTAATCTTGTTTTTGTGTCCAGAAAATTCTTAATTTAACAGCATGGAATGTCAATTACTATTATTGTGGGCTTTTCGATGTTGCAGTTAATAATTTAGCTCTTTAGTTTTCCTCATATTTAAAGAAAAATTTTATAGAGCTTTCATAAAGTATTTTTTGGTGCCAGTTTAGTATCAATTTTCAAGTCCAATTAAGGTATTGGTTTTCTAAAAGTGAGGGGGCAAAAAACCACAGATATGTGTTAGTCCTTGAATATTTCTGAGATTTCATTCATATATATTTTTAGAAACTTCAGAAAACTTGGCCTAGGGTTTATGTACTTTAAAATCTAGCCACTGTAAACAATTACTGGTATATCTAATGTCTTATCAACCAGCATTTATCTTCACCTGTCATCTATAACTTTGAAACATGCTCTAGCTTTTACTAGCAGATTAATTTAATTTGTTTAGTTAAATTGAAAAAAAAAAGATAATTAAAAAAATTATCCCTTGAAATGTTGGTGCATGGGGTGGGAGGTGGAATCCCTCCCTCTTTCTGCTTTTTACAAAATACAGCATTGTATCTTACAGGTCGTCTTGGATTTTGTAAGGAATTCTTATTTTATGTCATTTTCAATAGAAAAATAGAATTTTGTTTTCTTGTACTTGAATGACAAAGCACAGTAGCTTTATACGTGAATGACGAAGCACAAGAGATTTGATGTAATATGATTGTATAGATTAACATGAAAACGGACAAAAGATGACCACATATTTCAGGACAGTCTCCCATCTTACACAGGAATACACAAATGTTCCTTCAGGTGAACAGTGGGGGTCGACTACCCTGAAAGATACTTTTACGGTCAATTAATAACGATCCTCGGTAAATAGAGTGCTTTTCCTCCGCAGTGAATTACCAGGCGTTACTGATATATGACTCTTACAATACACGCTTTTTATGTCAATGAATACCAGTGAAAACCTTTTCATCATTGTTGTATTCTGTCATAAATTTTAATTTTCCAGTGCCTTTTGGTTGTGTATTGATAATGGGATTTTATCGTTCCATGCACGTATGACCGCACAAAAGATTCCATTTCTTATTTTTTTACAAAGAAGGGGCTAAGTTAAGAAATGGCTTTTAATAGATATTTATTGACCCAGGATAGGTCAAGTGATAGGTATATATTTGTTAAGTAATGTGTCTTGCAGGATCCCTCTATTGTCAGGTCAAACAGCTTTGTAGAAGATTGTGTTACCAACATGGTATCTTATAAAAATGAACACAAGTTTAAAGACAGTGTATACATAAAATATTTTATTTTCTCAAAAGATTAAGGCACAGATACAACAGAAGATTCAGGTTCACAAACTGCTTTTTTTCACGACAAACATACAAAATACTGAAAACTTTAACACCTTGATTAAGATATTCTCTCTGTTGTTAAAATCAAAACATTTTTGTGCCTTAAAGGTAAGCTGTGATCTGTTTGGTTGCACTAAACCCGGTAAATATCTTTATAATCCATGTACCCTGTTTTTATGCTTAATATGTCATGTTTTTCATTGTTGTAGGTTTGAAGGACAAGTAAGGGATGGTTTATAAAGGAGACTAAGGCATGGGTTGACAGAAGGAGGAGGAAAGATAAAAAACGAGAACAGACTTGAAGACTCGACCAGTGATGGACGTGATGGAGGAAGTGGAATATACACAGGAGTACGCTCAGTATGATGAGGAAGACGAGGAGGAGTTACCTCCCCTTAACGAGGGCGACGAAGCCGTCAGTCTGTACGATATATTGGTGGAGCGAGATAAATGTTTGTCAGAGGAGGAGTTATGGGCCCTGTGTCGTGAGTGTTGTCTGGTGCTGGAGGTGGTCAATAACTCCCCCGAGATGTTCCAGACTCTGTGTGTCACCCCTGACACAGTGGCTTTTGATGGAGCGGGTAACGTCTGCTTCCTGGACCTTGACAGAGGTAGGTGTAAGAATGAAACTCACGCACATATACAGGTAGTCTGAAATATCTGATGTTTTCCTGGCTATTTCACAGTTTTGATATTTTACATGCTAGGAAAATTTCAGAACCTGCACCAGTATGAAAACTGGGATTTCGCTGCCTCTACTTCTATGGAGGCATTCTTGGGTTGATTTTTGATACTTGCGAACCGAATTAAATGCTGAATTCACAATTTTTCAATGGTACAATGCCTTTAGTACTCACCAACATCATTTTTAACGTTAGTAAATGAAATATACAGTAGTAATATTTAATAATACCAACAGTTTTATTGTCATTTTGTGCATTTAAAAAAAATCTTGCAAGATATGTATCGATATGTGGAGTGATATTTTCTCTTCATTGATATTGGTGAGTACTAGAGACATTGTGCTATTGATAAATTATAAGCTCTACATTTAGTTCGGTTCACAAGTACCAAAGCTAGGCTCCGATTCCAGATGACGAAATTCCCAGTTTTCGTTATGGCGCCGGTTCTGGCGTATTCCTGTCATGTAAAATATTAAAATCGAAAAAAGCCTGGAAAACGTCAGATGTTTTGGACTAATATACAGGGTGTATAAGAAATAGGTTTTATAACTGGTTAGTAGGTGACAATATTGTTAGTATCCAGACTTTAGGGGTGGTAATTTTGATTGACTTTTGGAGAATGTTAAACAAGATTAAAGCTGTACCACATGTACTGGTCAGCAAATAACGTTTGAATGGTGTAGGGGTATTTTGAAATTAAATCTTGGAAAAATCCACTAATTCTAGCAGTGGTCACTATCTCTGGTGGTGTTAGTTTGGTCCAGATAAGATAATGCTATCACCCCCACCTACTGGGTTCTTTCCGATATTCCAAACAATGTAAGCAGTCCTCATTGTCCTAAGTTGTTTGGGGACATTTATACAGTGACCGGTTTACACACTGTGTTCATCAATCAGAATTAAGCTCGATAGACCCATTCTTGTTAAAGATAAGATTTTAAATGTAAAACCATTGTTCTCCGAGTGGTAACAGGCATTAAGGACCCCACAAATTGTTGAGTAGTAAAATTGAAATCAGTCTCAAGTGTTTCTAACACCATGTAGGGGATAAGATTAAAGAAAAGAAACAAATGACATTACTACCAATGAAATAACCACTGGGTTGTTATACAAATATAGCATTTATGTATAAAGCCTATATTTTGACTTTTTAAATTCAAAAATAATGTTTTGTTTTCAACATTTACTATTTTATTCAATGATTTAAAATGAATCTACATCCACTTATATAATTTATAGAAATTTAGTTTACCAACACCATGAAAAATCAATCATTACTTAAAACTGTTATTTGAATTTTGTGAAATTCAAATCCATCATGGATTTAGAATACACTGTAATAAACATGCACATGAAACTGTACATAGTTTAGCCTGGAAATAGACAGTCATTGACATAATTCATTGTTAGAGAGAGAGAGAGATGTGCTTCAGGTGAGCATTATAGACCATAGGCTTCTGGTTCAAAATCATGTTTTCCAGAAAGTTGATTGGTTTTGTAAGAGAGATCTGCAGTCTATTTCAAATTGTAATTTAAATCAAGAAATACTTTATCCCAAGTTTTTTCTCTGGGTTGAAATCGCTTTGCAGCAATATAGGGTTCTGCTAACATGTTTAATGGAACCTTTTTGCATGTAGTCCATTTTAAATAATGGATACTTATACATATTCATACATGTGCAAACAAATACATGTATTGTTGAGCTCATGAAACTACCTGTATATGTACATGCATGCATGTGTAAGGTTAAAACATTTCTTTCACTGGTATTTTATGTGAAATTTCTTAAATCTAGAGAAAGTCAAAGTGATTTCTGAGTTTTCAAGTAGTTCAAACATTTGTATTTTTGTCCTTTTAATGCCTAGCTGTTTTTGAAGAGTCTGATATTTTTACTCAGAGAAGTTCAACAAAAAGTCCCCTCTAATTCCACTTTCCCATTTATTCAACAGAATGGGATTAAAAAGAATGTTAATTGAAATATTTTCACAGAGGAAGTATTCTTTCTACAGCAAATAGAATAATTTTCTTTGACAAATGGTAGGTTCTTTTCCAATGTAAACAGAACATATCAGTGCCAGATTAAACACCCAAGTCAAAAACTTATTATTCAAATGAACCTGCAGGCTAAAATGCTGAATTGATATTTATATATCGGAAATTAAATTTTTCGGTGACGTGTGGTATATTTAATGTGTTCGGTTAGATGAGATTTGATATGGATTTTCTGTTTAAATGGGTTTTGCTAAATCGTTAGAAGTCAGCCATCACTGATAAATGGTTGTTTGATAGACATCTTAAGTGTCAGGTACAGTTGTTTGGCCAGTTCCGAATAAGAAACCGATTCGGCTGAGCTATAAATACATTAGACATTATTTCAAAATTTAAGTGTTTTATCAAGGTAGTTCGATGAATTGTGGAATTAAATATTGTTTCATAAAAATTCACCCTGCTTTCAAAAAAAATTATTTCGCAAGTTACCATAGGTGTCATTTTTACCAGTTACGAATAACACACGGATAGCCCAGAGATTCTTATTCAATTCAACCCTAAATAAAAAAAATATACGTCCCAGATGTTATCCATTGGCATGCCTAAGAAAAATTAAATTAATTTCTTACCAATAAATCATTTGTATTTTCAAAGGTTGAAGAGAAACTAGAGGTACTGTGGGCACTGAGCCCATTTTAATGATACCCCACACCTTCTTTATGATTATTTAAGTCAAATTCCATGTTTTGATCTGGGAGACCCGAAATTAGTGTTAGATCAAAAAGTAAAATAAAAGTTCATTATGTCACAATGTAATCAAGAATCTGTGAAAGTATCATTAAATCTTATTCAGTGGTATAAGAGGAATAGCGGATTAGAGATGGATAAACCTTTCAATATTACAAAGAGTAGCAGTATCCATGTTTTTCTCAGGGAGCCCAAATCATGACTGATCCAAAAATAAAATAGTTTTACTTTGGCACTGTTAAACAAAGATTCTGTGAAAGACTCATTAAATTCTGTGACTTCATTCAGTGGTAGAAGAGGTGTTGCGGATAAGAAATGGATATCCTAGAGCATATCAGACGGACGGACGTACAGCTAGACGCACGGACGGACATAAAAGACGGGTGGATGGACAAACATCCTTTACTATCTACCCCTTCTTCCTGTTTTACAAGCGGGGGTATAATAAATCAGGTTTACAATGAAGAAAATAACGAAGAATGAATTTATGATAGTGTTTAAAATGGGTATTCGGAACTGGTAAAATAAGAAGACGAAAATATTTTAATATCTTACAGTGTTCTAAATATCTATTTTTGACAAGTTTTTAGTATATGTAAGAGTACATATCAAACTTACTTTTGATACCTGGAACGTGGTTTTATGTGAAAAATTTATAAATCTACAGAGGTTTTTCTGCAGACTCGCGCTTTGCGGTGATTCACGTTTGTTGCGTTGTAAAAGTTTGTCGACTGTTTCGAGTACGATAACGAAACCAAACCGAGGTTAAAAAAATCAAAACTTCGCATAATTCAAACACTAATAAATAAGCCTTCTTACCATAGAAACAATTTATTTTTACACCGTTGAATTTATTAATTATCAGTCCTTACATTACTAATTATTCGGAACTGGCCAAAATCCGGAACTGGCCAAACGACTGTATATTTACAACACACAGAAGGATACACTTGTAAAAGAGGACCAAGAAATGACTTAATGAGCTGAAATGTATATTTTCTGACTTTCCTTTGAGAAAATCAAATTACTAGCTTAGAAAAGATGTTAAAGTATTGACAGTAAACTCAGTAGGTACACTTTATATTTGATACAACTTGAAAGAAAGGTAAACATAGGTAACTGACAGGATAGGTAAATAATGTGTCTTTCCTATGTATCAGCAACAGATTTCATCCTGAATCTATAGTTGTTTACTATGATGTATCTTGAAAGTAAAGATCAATAATCATGGTATCATAAGAACATCCCCCCTCCACCCCCCAAAAATGCTTCACTCTTTAGGGCATGATGAATAAAGCTTAATTCACCCTGTGAATTATGAATCTTCAATCTTTTGCATGCAAATATGCAAATGCATTTTGAATGTGATGAAATGAATGCAAATACAGACATTTAAATATCTGATAAAGTGTACCTTTAGATTTTCAAAGCTATCTTTCCTACCTGCAGTAATTATTCTTCTGCTGCACATAAAATCAGGAATACATCTACCTTAAATAATTGATTTGCATATGCATGTTGAATAGAGTATATATTTCATGATTCATTTATAACTTAGCTGGGTTAATACTTGTGAAAATGGCATTCCTTAAAAAAAGTTGTATACTCTATATGTTGTTTAGGACTTGACATCTTTGCTAAGCCAAGGGTTTTTGATACGCTACTCTCCTCATAATCCCTTGGCATACAGTGTTGATAGAAGTTGGGTTTTTATACCCCCCGCAAACGAAGTTTGGGGGGGTATATAGGAATCACCTTGTCCGTCTGTCCGTCTGTCTGTCTGTCCGTCTAGCTGTCTGTCCGTCTGTCTGTCTGTCTGTCCGTCTGTCCGTCTGTCTGTGCAAACGTGTCCGGTCCATATCTTTCTTATGGAGGGACATTAGGATCTACTACTCCACACAAAGATTGCCCATGACCTAAGGGTGTGTCATGACCTTGACCCAAGGTCATTTGGGGAAGTTAAAGGTCACTGGAAGAAAAAGTTCATAATTCGTGTCCAGTCCACATCTTTCTTATGGATAATCTTGGTAGGTTCTCATTTCACGCAAAGATTGCCCATGACCCAAGGGTGTGTCATGACCTTGACCCAAGGTCATTTGGGAAAGTTCAAGGTCACTGGAAGAAAAAGTTCATAATTCTTTCTGGTCCATATCTTTTTTATGGATAAACTTGGTAGGTTCTCATTTCACACAAAGATTGCCCATGACCCAAGGGTGTGTCATGACCTTGACCCAGGTCATTTGGGGAAGTTCAAGGTCACTGGAAGAAAATTTTCATAATTCATGTGTGATACATATCTTTATTATGGAAAAACTTACTTCTGAAAAAACCCAGCGGGGGGTATTTTGTCCCGTTTGGACAGTTCTAGTTTCCTTAAGTTCTGATTGGGATTCGTACACCAGGTAGACCAATAAGCAATTGTTTTTTTGTAATTAATGATGATATTTGCATTCGGGATACTTCTTGACTCTTTAAACTCGGAAATGAAAAACGCAAGTAAACAACGATCCATAAGATAACGTGCCATTCTATGAATAGCTATGGTGTCATCCAATATCTTCTAAATATGTGGTTAAGAATCTATATTGAAGCTTCAGATTTGTACTATAGATAATAAATAATTGCCTCTTAATTCTTCTTGAAAAAAACTTTGATTTAATTTTTTTTCAAACACATGTCTTTATTTCTGTTGATGACGCAATCTGTGCGTACCTGATAGTTCAAGATCATGTGATGAAAACAATCCCATCTTTTGATTTCACCATATGCCAAGGGTTCATGAGGAGATTAGCATATCAAAAACCCTTGGCTAGCGGAGATGAGGACTTGAAAACTTCTATAGAATTTAAATCATGTCCATGCATAAATATTTCAACTTTCATTGGAAAATTTTCTTATAATTGGTTTTGAATTTTAAGAATTATAGTTAAAAATTGTGCTTCAAAGCTTCATTTTTTTAACCTGCATCCTCTTACAAATAAATCTGGTCACTCTCGTGGCAAAGTAGTAAGAGCTTTTGCAGTAAAGTTGCAGAGTAAGGAGTTGATCCTTACGTTGCAGGTTCGAATCCCACAGTAGGTGCTGGCCCTCACTGCTCAATGGCTTGAGGGACATGTAAAGGTCTAAACTTGAAGGCCTCCACAAGCAAGTCATGGCATCTCGATATTAGTGAAAAATTCTTGAAAGATATATTAAATAAAAAAAAAATAATAAATTCTTGGAGACATGCTAATATTTTATACCCTCAGCTTCTTCCACAGTGTCTACATCCCATATGAACTTTTTCCGAAGCAGGTCCATTTCTAGACAACCATAAGATATAATGATGAATCATGATATTGAATATAACTTGCTTTAGATACTTGTTCATGTGATTTATTTTCTGGATCAAAATTCAGGTTAAGACTTTTTGCATTCTGGCTATAAGTCCTACCTGACTAACTTTTTCAAGTATATATGGTTGCTGTACATGACCTACATAATTTCTTGGTCATTGAAGAGCCAAAAGTAATTGATGACTTAAAAATCTCTGATTTACTCTTCTTTTAATTTTTTAATGCAAAATTTTTTGCTCTTCAATTTTAAAATTCATTTAAATGCTTACATGGGTAATTTTTCCCGCAATCTTCTATAAGCAGAAGAAAAAAAGGAGTGTGGATGAAATGTTGTTTTGGGAATTAATTCATGTATGACTAATTCAGTCTTTTTGCCAATGAGTAATTATTAAATAATTCTTTATTCAGATTAATGATACTGTTTATTGTGTGTGAAATCTGATGAAGAATGTCAAAAGGACTGTAAAATGATTTTATTGTTGATTTTAATCTTCAGAAATTAGGGCATTGTATTGATTACCTGTGGAAGATATGTCACGAGTCCAAAGGCTTAAAACACGTCTAGAATACTGGACGGACTTAACTAGCTTAGGCTTTAAAAATGTTAGTGTTTTTCAGTTTAGTTAATATTTTACCATCTTTAAGATATTGACTAAACAAATATTTTCCTCTTTAATTTACCTGATGTCAATGCTTTTGATAGAAGCAATGTGGATCTTAGACTGTAAGAAACTCCAAAGAGAAACCATGCATACATGCATGTATTACTGGTATGCAATTGTCAAAATGCAGTTACTGAATTCAATAATTTAAGGTCTGGTTTAAGGGCTACTTTCAAACCCAAATTGTAGTTTGCTTTTTTTTGGACACAAGTCATTTGTCAAAAAGCAGGATTTGTGAGTTTGTGATGTCTTGCTAGAGTTATCATTCTTGAAGTGTTATTTATAAGTTTTTAAATTGATCTGAGTTCAGGAAGATTTGGCATTCCATTGTGTCCCCACTTTGTGACCTTGTAACCAGCAGTAAATTTTCCATTTTTTCCCCTCTTAAGTACTTTCTATATGCATGCTCCTTAATAAAATGATTCATTCAAGGGGTGTGTTTGAATTCGGCATCTGTCATTTAGTGATCTATTTGTTGAGGATATAAATTTCGCAGTACCTTTGCTATACAGAAAGTACAACACAATACAAAGAGTTCATGCTATTATAAAAAAGCGTAGAGGATTTCTTTAAGTAGCTCTATTCAGATCAAAATTGAAAGCATCTTTCAGTTTTGTTTAAAGTTTGTCTATTGTTGGGGTAGTTACGTTGAACTCTTTTTACCTCTGCAAAGAAAAGAGTGGAGTCATATGTAGATAGCTTTTTCCTATAGATCTGGCAAACATCCATGCAGAATGAAAACAATAGAACTTTTTTCCATAATAATAAAAGTATGCATTGGAAAATGAGGTGAAATGGTCGCTGGTCTTTGTTCGTAGGCAGCGGTGTGAAGATAGAGCAATATTGATATATCCCCATAAGCTGATTGTGTTCTATAGATAATACCCACCGTATGATATATGTTTTTGTACTAGAGCTGACTACCCGTGGCTAATGTCGTACTTAAAAAAAGTTTACAGTAAAAGTCTGACAAGGATCTGTTGGTGACTTTAGCTTAAGACTCGCTTACTTAGAAAAAGGTAATTATTTTTGGAATTTATTGACACTTACGGTTTTTTTCTTTTTAAACAAATTATGTGAAACTTCAAAGATCAATGTATTTGATTTGTGTTTACAAAATTATACAATTTTATGTTTATGTTAGCAGTAAACTTGAAGATGACTGCATGGGAAAAGAGTAAATAAATGATTAGCAGGACTTATTTTTGATTCTATTTCATACTGTAACAAGTATATACTCTTCACTTTGGATTTTTTAATTGAAAAAATGTCCAATTTCGAAATTTTGATGATTTGTGCTATGTTTATTGTAGAATAAGGACAGTACGATTGTAGGTTGATCCTCTGTTCCATGTCTTTAATGAACCATTAAAATCTTGAGTTCAAGATTCTTTTTCCAAAAAAATCACAGAAAAAATTGGGAAATGTTTACCCTAATTGGGGAGAAAAAAGAAAATTTTCAAAGATATAATTTTCAACTGGGACTGGGTTCTTTACCTGATCTGCAAGCAGTGCTTATGATTATAAGGAGCTGAATTTACACTAAATTTTCATAAAGTTCCAAGAATACTGAGGTATCTCTTTTTGCCTTTGAATCAAAATATACTTTGAAAGGACTTTGGTATTGAAACTTTTAAAATAAGTGTGAAAATGAGATGGTTTGTCATCTATGTCCTTAAGTCATTGAAAGATTGCATTAAATATTTATAAATGGTACGTCTTTATTTTGATAGAGGATGTCTAGTGTTACAATTTTCTTTAAAAAAATGAATCCTTTATTGATCATATGCAAATTATATCTCCCAAGCCTGGTATTTGTAGCTTTGAAGGTCACCCATATATAGGTTGTTCACATCTTTTGAACTTCCAGGCCAAATTTTTCAAAAAAATTAGTATCTTTTAAAGGTGATTTGGTACAGTCCTTTTAAATTAATTTCAGAATGGGTTCTGTGTATATCTTTTGTTTTTATTGGTGATGTTGGAAAATGTAACTGTCAATTGGTGTTGCTGCAAAAGGGAAAAAAGAAAAGAGAAATATGGTTAGACATTTGAACAATGCAACCTCATGCCAAAATACCATAAATAGGATTATGTCTCTTATTCTGTAAGCTTAATTGCCATAACCGACTGCCAATATGTCCACTTCAACAAGAATTGTTTTAAGTGTCCTCAAAAGCATTATATGAAAGATAGAAATATTATTATTACAAGTTTTTACATGGGTCATTTTTTTATTTGCACGTCTTAAGGACCCCGTTAACCATTCTGTAGTATGTTTGAGGACATTGGAGTAGGGGGGCTATACATGACACTGATCTATACAACAGTTCAAGGGTATTAATTTAATTTATACCACACAATATTGATACATGTATGTTTATAGATTGTTTTTTGTGATTACAGATCCCGAATCTCTATATATACCTCCGGAGTACGACAATGTGGGCAATTCTATCAAGGTAATTCTACCAGCTGGACTATTATACTGTTGTGTTTTAGATATTCAGTCGGTAAGTTGTATTTTATGAACTTCAAGGTTTATACACAGCAGAGAAGTTGATCGATGTTTCCAAAAATTATGCTATAGAGGCAAAGATGTGTTAAGGCTGGGTATTTTTTTATTTTGTAATTGGGATTAACACTGATTAAAGTGATAATTTTTGAAAGGTTTATTGCATTAGACATAAAGATTTCATGGGAACAATTAAAAACAAAATGTAGCAGTTCTGTATTGTCTTTTACACTTGATAATAAAACGATATGCATCAAGTCCAAAATCAGTAACAATACATTTCTAACACGTTGATCATGGTAAAGTGTTCAAAAGAAATAAATACAAAGTATTTTCAAACTTGTGCACTGGTAACTTTTATCTGAATTTTTTCTTAAAACAGATCAGTCAAATTTATAAATGTAACAAAAAAATAGTGAAAATATGATATTTATATTCATATGTCTTGAATACATTAGACTTTGGTACACTTATCGGTGCATTAAGTTGAAATTTTGTTTATTGATAATCACTTTTACAAGAATAAATTTGGTTTGGCTTTGTGATTATTATAAGTCACAAAAAAGGAATTTTAAAATTCTTCGATTGTTTCAAAGATTATAAATATTACTAGAACTTCAAAGACACTCCATTGTTTGCAAAACTTTTAAATTATAAATGGGGATCTTAGTTGAAGTTCCAACCATTGCAATATTATCAGTACATGCCTATGTGTGTCCAAATTTGTCACAGAAAAAATATTTTGGTAGCCTTTTATTAACTGTACAAATATCCGAGAGGAAACAATTTGAAGTTCAATTCAAAGTAAATTGTTTGAACAGCGAGGGATTGAATCGGTGATTATTAGAAGACAGACATTTCTCTATGAAGGACAGAGATTGTAATGAATTCTGATGATCTCTTATAAATTCCATGGATTTTAAATATTGATTTATAGTCAAATTCTGTGAAATTAGATAAAGGACCATTTTGGGTAGGTAATATTGTATGTACAGAAATACAGATTTTCTGCATGTGTGTGATGTATTCTTAGTACGGAATATTACTATGAGGAATTGAAAAGACATTTAGTATGCCATGTGGATTTGGTAGGATTTTATAGTGAAAAGAAATTCTGCTTTATCAGAAAATGCTAATTTTGTTAAAAAAGAATTGGTATCTTAATTTTCATATTGTGTACTGCCTTGTCCATTGACAAAGTAATTTATATTTTTTATTTATTTTTAGTTCCACTTGTTTCCCCATTGGATGACCCTACTTTATGTCTATTTTTAGTCCCACTTGTTTTCCCATGGGATGACCCTACTTTATATCTATTTTTAGTCCCACTTGTTTTCCCATGGGATGACCCTACTTTATGTCTATTTTTAGTCCCACTTGTTTTCCCATGGGATGACCCTGCTTTATGTCTATTTTTAGTCCCACCTGTTTTCCCTTGGGATGACCCTGCTTTATGCTGCGGAGTACAATGGAGAACCTGGCCAGCAGATTTGTTCGGAGCTTCGGGAACTGTTTGGGTGTATGACCTCTGAGCACCTGGACACGCGTCCAGACCTCGAGTCCATTATAACTCAGTGTGAGGAGGAGCTCTGTGGGAAATCATCGCAGGAGATATGTTGTGGAATAGGAGGATTCGCCGCACCATTCACCCCAGCTCCTGGTAAATAACCTGTCTTTATATGACTGAAAAATATATTTAAAGTGAAATATTAAAATCTATCTGTTTTAAAACTTCATCACTAAAACCTGAGTTTTGTCATCTTTAAGATTATTTTTCATTAATTAAACAAAAAGAATTTTTTTGAACTGATCATTTGATATTATCCATTTTCAATAGCTTACACTAAATCGTATAGTTTTAACTAAACTGTTGGCCTTGCTCATTATAAGCTTACAAATTGTTGTGACATAATTTTAAAGATTTTCAAATTTTTCTTTGTAACAGATGTATCATCAATAACTAGTTATACAGATGTAACAGAGGGACTTGCCAACTACTTATCTTCTCAGTCTTCCATAGTACCCGGTGTAGTCTCAGAACCACTTAACAGACCTCAACAACACTCTACCCCCTCTGAATCCCCTCCCCAGAGACAGAGAGAAATAGGATCCCCCCATAGCCAGGAGGAGGAAGTAGAGAATTCTGACTTTACTGAGAGTGAGGAAATGCCGATGCGGGGGATGTTAACAGGGATGCCCCTCCCCACAGGGAACAGGGAGAGGAAATCTAACACCAGGGGTCCCAGCAAACAAGGACTTAATTATAGTTCTAACTTAATTCCCAATAATTCCAGTGAAAAAATTCCAAAGGATATAAACTTGAATGTGAGTGAATCTAGTGAGATTTCAAGTGATTCTAAGACAAGTGAGAGTGAAATGAAAGTGACGGTGACAGCAGAAATAAAAAATCGGGTTTCACCCGAAAAACCCAAACCTCCGTTACCAAGGAAACCGAGCTTAAAGGAACAGGTGACTATATCTAATAATGACTCAGGAATGATTGTTGATGAAGAATCTATTCTATGTGAAAAGCCAAATGGTATGGACAACAGTGGTGGACATTTCAGTACGAACACTTCCAAACCTGACCCAGTGGAGATGTTCTCCCCCAAGGTGTTAGAGCCTCAAAGTGAAAGTTCAAAGGACTTGATAAGTTCGACCTCGATGAAACGGACCGAGTCCTCTGGAATCAGTGGTTCTGAAACAAGGCCAAAACGCTCCAAGAAAAAACAGGTACAATAGGGCGACATTTTCTATTTTCATATTATTGCTTTGCAAAAGTAATTAAGGCCTTTTAAATGGTTTCATGGCCATTTGCACAAGTGTTATCACATGAAAATAAAGTTTACCCAACGTAAGCTTGTTTGTGAAAGTCTTAAGCTATTCAGCCTTTGATGGGCATTGGTAATACACACTTATGATATGTATTGCTTTGTGTTTTAATGTGGCTGAAATAATATTTGCCAATTACATAAAACTTCACACTATATTGTTAGGACTTGAGTAACCCTATATCCTTGTTAATTACTGGTAAATGACCTCTCAGTATTATGTATGGTACTCATGGCCAAGTAATTTGCAAAGAATTTGCATGCTCAAGGAGACATCAAATACTATTTTAAAAAATTTTCTTGTAAATGTAGTATTGTTCATAATGCACTACATTAACATTATAATTTTATTTTGGTTCATTGTATTGAAAAATAGATTGCTATGTAGTCCATAGCACGTCTTTGTGGATAATTTTTAAAAATCTTATTTTTTTAAATTTTGCATTGTATAGAAAGAAAATCAATGAAATCTTCCCTTTATTGGATTAAAGAAAGCTTTGAATTCTTTATACATCTGATTTGATTTTCTAATTTGACAGGGTCTGACAGTAAATGAGGTCCTGGACTCCCTCAATAGGGGGCTGACAGAGGAGGAACTGTGGGCACTATGTAGAGAGGGGACCATAGCACTGCAGAGGAAGAAGAAACATCTACGTAAGTCAGGGGGACCGGGAGGGGGGACCATAGCACTGCAGAGGAAAAAGAAACATCTACGTAAGTTATGGGCCGGGGGGGGGGGAGGGGGGGGGCATAGCACTGCATGGGAAAAAGAAACATCTACGTAAGTTAGGGGGGCTGGGGGAAGGGGGGCATAGCACTGCAGAGGAAAAAGAAACATCTACGTAAGTTGGGGGGGGGGGGGAACATAGCTCTGCAGAGGAAAAAGAAACATCTACGTAAGTTAGGGGGGAGGGGGGCATAGCACTGCAGAGGAAAAAGAAACATCTACGTAAGTCGGGGGGAGGGGGGCGAGGGGGAGCAGCTTAAAAAATTCTTTTACCTATGCCTGTTACATCTCCGATCATGCAACCGTACACTTAGGAGAATGTCAGATACTGATGTCAGAGCATATATAGTCTTTGAATATTTGGCTTCAGTTTTACTTTTTACAGTCAAAGCAAACCTTGTCTTATCAAACCTGATGAGATTTAGAAAAAAAAATTGTTGTATTGGTGTTTTATGATATCACTGTAAAAATACATCAAGGCTGTGGTTGGGATTTCTGAGAGTTCTAACTTCAGCAGATCCATGGTATTGGAGGTCTCAAAGTCATAGTATCAGAGATAACAAAGTTCAACTTTTTTTCATGATACGAAAACCTTAAAATATTCCAATAACTTTCCTCTGTCTTTTAGCTGCCTACATTTCACCAGACACACTGGTTTTGAGAGAAAATGGTAACTTATCATTTAAAGCCATCCCTGAAGACAAGCCATTGGAGGTGATCTTTATGGCGCCAGAGTTACAGCAAAGAGGGAATCTGTCAGACAAGGTAACAGGGGCATCTGTATAGGCTTGACTTATTTTGTTATAAAAATAAAACATTGAAAAACTTCAAAATGAAGGAAAATGTTCCAAAACAAATTTAACCTCATTGAAAAATGTTCTATAAAAAATTATATTTAAGAAATGTTTGTAAATTTACACTAATTTTCATTTTAACTTTACTATTCCTTATAGACATGCCTGTATGGTCTTGGAGTAACTCTTCGGTGTGCGGGTGGTAATAAATACTCGCCTATATCAGCCATGGCTGTGTCAGAAGAGTTCCAGTCCCTGCTGGAGGACTTGACAAAGTCAGACCCAGCCAAACGACCCTCACTAGAGGCTGCTCAACAGGTCAGGGGAGAACTGAGAAAATGACTGAATTTATCTACTAATGAGTGAAATACAGTAAAAGTTGTCTAATGCGAATGTTTTGTCTTACAATTTTAGAGATGTGATAACTTTGAAGGAGTCAACAGTTCCACCTCAAATATTGTCTGCAAAAACCTCTTCACAGAGTCTTTTACAAAAATGGTAAGTGTAAACAATTATGGACAGTTTTGACATGTACACAGATACTGTAATGTTTATGATGATTGCTATACTCCATGCTTTTGCTGTTTTAGATGAGTATGATCATGTGGTATATGTATATTAATCGTCTAGTTGACCAGGTGAGCTGAGCGGTTCTTGTGTCACTGACTGCCCACAGTTTAGGATTATATGAGACCTATTTATTGTCACTTTGATCTGGATCACAAAACTAAACGTTTTGTTTATTTAACAGCCTGTACAAAAAAGTCTAAAGATCTATCACAAAGTGAACTCAAACATTGCACTATTTTTTTTTTTTGAGATATTGTGAACTGCAGCAATTCACTTATCATGATGAAATGCACAGTGAATGACAATATGCACATCTAAATTAAAGTCTAAATTTACTTCCATTTGTCAGCTAATAGAATTTTCTAATGAAATTTCTAATAAAAATGTAATTCAGTGCAGAAGTATTCATGCTGTCCTCTATTTTCAGATGAATGGAACCAATAATGAAGAAAAAGAGCCAGATGTAGCAGAGGAGTCAGTGCCTGTAAAACCAGCAGAGACACCAAAATCTAAACCTAAACCTCCCCCTAAGCCCCCGAGTCCCATGATATCCGCCTTCCGTCCGATTAAAGGACCAATCACAAAACCTCAGATAGGGTCCTCATCCTCCATGTTTGCTCCAGTGGCAGTGAAACCCAAGACTGAGGGCAAAGGACAGATGCCTTCAGCCTTTACTTCCACGGCGACTCATTTTAAGCCAATCATTCTCCATAAAACCAGTTCATCCCCTCCTCCTCCTCCTGAGGAAGAGAAGAAAGCAGATGTAGCTAAGGAGCAGAGCAATGATAACGACAAGGAGGTGGTGAGAAAGTTAAAGGAGCTGAAGAAGAACCTGATGAAGCACAGGCAGCCAGTGAAAGACGCTGAAGGAGAGGAGAATCAAAAGGAGCAGCAGACGACAGCTGCCAAGTCTTCCAGTGAGAGGAAGGAGTCAGAGGAGAATGTTCAGATGAAGGCTAGCAATGCAGGCTCCCTGGACAATCTTCTGTCAGAGCTCCAGAAACAAGGCAGTGTGCCTGATACACAGTCACTGGCTGCAGCCATTGCTCAACACCTGGCAAAAAACTTACAGGGCTCACAACAATCAAATGCTGGGCAAGGAAAGGATGTTCCCCAACAGTTAGGCGGACAAGGCCCCATGTCAACAGCAGCAGCTCCTAACATGAATCAAATGTTTAACATGCATTTAAATCAACAGATGTCAAATTTTCCTCCTCAGTACCAGCAGCAGTTGATGGGACAGACCATGACTCTGCCCTCCATGGGTCAGTTTGGGGGGTCCATGATGCCAGGTTATCCCATGCAAGTCCAGCTTCAGCAGGATCCAAGAACCGGTTTGTTCCAGATGGTTCCAGTTGGCATGGTAACTGTTAACTCAGCTCCAGGGAGTCAAGCCAACTCAGATGAGTTCAACAATATGGAGGATGTAACTCGCATGAGTGACCCTGGAAGAAGTCCCAAACCAAGACCCAGACATCTAAGTGGAGAATCGTCAAGAGATGTGCCAAAACAGAAGCAGGGCAGACATGGACGAACGGCCAAAGATTTAGTGCAGAAGACAGCAAACATCAGGTCAAAGAACCTCCAGCAACAAAACACATCAAACCTCTCTAGTCCTCTAGGTTCAAAAGATTACGATTCAAAACAATGGTCTTCCAACCAAGCGTCAGATAAACATTCTAGTCAGACTAGGGCATTTAATGGGGAGAGTGGCCAGCCCTCTGACCAGTATAACTCTCTTCCCAGAAAACACAGTGTGCCCCTCAATCTGTCCTCAGGTGACTATCACTTACACCCTCAGTCTCAGAGAATCAGGTCCAACACATCTTCCCCCTCCCCCTCCAAGGACAGTGGTGTCAGTGGAGTGAACGGTGTGTACAAGCCGCCTGATCCAGGCAGCCTGATGGATCGTCTGCTCAACAGCAACACGAGTCTAACACAGCAGCAGAAGATGGGGCGCCTTGTTCACCTCCTGAGGGAGGAGTTTGCATTTGATGGGTATATGGAAAATGGAGTAGAAGATATTAACATGGGTTTGTATATTTGATTTTGATAGTAGAAATTAAATAATTATACCCCCTGCAAACAAAGTTTGGGGGGTATATAGGAATCACCGTGTCCATCTGTCCGTCTGTCTGTGCAATCGTGTCCGGTCCATATCTTTCTTACAGAGGGACATTAGAATCTAATACACCACACAAAGATTGCCCATGACCTAAGGGTGTGTCATGACCTTGACCCAAGGTCATTTTGGGAACTTCAAGGTCACTGGAAGAAAAATTTCATAATTTGTGTCCGGTCCATATCTTTCTTATAAATAAACTTGGTAGGTTCTCATTTCACACAAAGATTGCCTATGACCCAAGGGTTGACCCAAGGTCATTTGGGGAACTTCAAGGTCACTGGAAGAAAAATTTCATAATTCGTGTGCGGTCCATATCTTTCTTATGAATTAACTTGGTAGGTTCTCATTTCACACAAAGATTGCCCATGACCCAAGGGTGTGTCATGACCTTGACCCAAGGTCATTTGGGGAAGTTCAAGGTCACTGGAAGAAAAATTTCATAATTCGTGTCCGGTCCATATCTTTCTTATAAATAAACTTGGTAGGTTGTCATTTAACACAAAGATTGCCTATGACCCAAGGGTGTGTCATGACCTTGACCTAAGGTCATTTTGGGAAGTTCAAGGTCACTGGAAGAAAAATTCATAATTCGTGTCCAGTCCCTATCTTTCTTATGGATAAACTTGGTAGGTTGTCATTTCACACAAAGATTGCCCATGACCCAAGCATGTGTCGTGACCCTGACCCAAGGTCATTTGGGAAACTTCAAGGTCACTGGAAGAAAAATTTCATAATTCTTGTCCTGTCGATATCTTTCTTATGGATAAACTTGGTAGGTTGTCATTTCACACAAAGATTGCCCATGACCCAAGCATGTGTTGTGACCCTGACCCAAGGTCATTTGGGAAACTTCAAGGTCATTGGAAGAAAAATTTCATAATTCATGTTTGATGCATATCTTTATTATGGAAAAACTTACTTCTGAAAAACCCAGCGGGGGGTATTTTGTCCCGTTTGGACAGTTCTAGTTGATACTGAAGCCTTATTTTTTATTTTATCTTTATGTAAAGGCATTTCCTCCAATGTTTCCTCATCATGTTTAAATTCTATGAAAAATATATAGTTTTTTACAATTAATAAATAATGTGATATTTCTTGATACAGCTGAATATGTCATGTCCCTTGGGAGCCTGAAGTGGGAGACATTTTCCAGTGCTATAACAGAGAAGTACTCTGACATGTACTGGAAAGTGGACTTACTCGTGTCTTTGTTTGAAGCCGTGAATGGAATTAAACCTGCAATTCTCAATCAGTAAGACTTTAATTAAAAAAAGAAAATTAAATGATTTGGTTCAAAAAGTTTATGTAAATCTCTGAATGCACTGGCCATTTTCTTTTTTTTTTTTTTTTTTTGGCCATATTTGTAATTCTAATTCTTAGCTCACCTGAGCTGAAGGCTCAAGTGAGCTTTTCTGCATGTTCATACATGTTCAAATGTAAAGGACAATAAAGCCAAAGGTAAACTGATTTCTGCATTTTTCCCAGCCACATTGCTCAGTTGAGCGATGTGGCCCATAGGCCTCTTGTTTCGTTCCTGATAGCTCATACTAAATTAATTGTAATCTTGTATAATGTTTTAGATCACATGTGCCAAACAGGAATGTCATGCAGTCAAATGATACAAGGTCATTGAAAGGTTCAAGCTTCAGACAGGGTGATGACCCAGATGGCTCCTCCTCCAGCATGTCGGAGACCAATCAGGAACATGCTTACAGAAATCAAAGGGGTGATAAAGCTTTTAACAGGACTGGTGATAGGCTAGGAAGTCGTCCACAGTCTGTGAATGCATTGCAAGAAAACTATGATACTTCTGATTCTACTGACAATGAAAACATTGGAAATAGAAGGAGACATCGCAAAAAACATTTTGAGAAAGCCAAGAGTTCTTCCATGCACAATCTTGCCTGCAATGCTACCTTCACAGTGGCTCCAGACAGTGACAATATTGTTGATGGAAGTGTTCACGGAAATGCTCAACCAGTCAGCGCTGAAGATCAAAATACTCATAATGTTAATCGCCGATTATCCTTACCTCAGAGGGGACTCTCTCCACACGATTCCTTTCATTCAAACTCTGGTGCCAGTCACTCTGGATCTCATACACAGCCCAACCGTTCCTCAGAAACCCTCCCCAAACGAAAGTCCCAAAACGATCAAGACGGCCCACACTTGATTCATGTTCAAAGTCAGAAATCAGACATTTCAAAACACTACCGCAAAAATCGGGGTGCAGAGCAAGGTAGCTTGTCCTCTCGCAGCAGCAGCATGTCAGATGTCCGCGGCGGCACCGCCAAACTGACGCGACACATGTCACAGTTATCTCTGAGTGAGGAGAAGCAGGAGACCCTGACGCCGTACAGACGGAACCATATTCTGTTTCATTACGCCATGATGCAGCTCAACATGTCCAAAGACTTGGAGAGGTTTCTTCAAGACATTGTAAGTATGGTTTCTAAATTTGTTATATTTTGATTATAAAGAAAGGTTTTAGATACCAGGGTATGTGGAATTAAATTGGTTCTTAATTACTGCAGATATTCTTTATAACAGGAGTTTGTTTACAAATTACTTTTAATGATTTTTTAAAGATGTAGAGTTTTTAGACATTGTTCTTTGTAATTTTAAAACAGGATGAGGAAAATGCTGAAAGACTGCAAATACAGCTGGCAAACCTAGATCAGCAGATTATGATGGAAAGAAGGACAAAAAGAAAAACACAAGCTTTCTTCAACAGATTGACAGACAGTCAGAAAGGGGCCAAAGGTATAGAGAACTTCTATGAGTTTTAATAAATGGCTTTTGTGTCATGTCAGTTTGGTAGCAAGCTTATTTTCTCTGCAATTTTGTGGTTAATTTTGAAGCAGTAAAAAATTGAGAAAATAAGACTACCGGTAGTATAATTAACTGAAATATTGAATGTAAAAGAAACTGGAAAAAATCAAACCAATTTAAAAAATCAAACAGTATCATGCTTGGAAAAATGTGAAAATAAGTTATAATTATAATCACTGATATATGGGATATCTATATAATTTGTTTCATGGTAGAAGGAAAATTCTGTTATAAAAACAAGTGATTTTTTCAGAAGACTTATGTAGCCTGTGTCTTCTCTTACAGACCAGAAGACCACAGTGTCTAAGGATCTGGAGGAGATGAGTCAGAAGATCCGCTATCTACAGCTGTGTAAGAACCACATCGAGACGTTACAGACGGAGCTGGACAGCATCAACTCCACCTTCCTGTACTCCCTCAGTACCCCCCTCGCTGACGCACCACTCAGGTTAAAGCCCCAGTGTGATAACCCACTGCTTCAGTTCCAGACCCTCAGGGAGCCACAGACCGGCTGTGAAATCCAGGTGGTGCAGGCCGGCACCACCGAGGGACTCATGTCTTATCTGTTTGCTTCGTAAGTAATGCAGTTATATTGGAGGACCATTACGCTACATTCATAGTTTTGTTTAGGTATATCCTATGTCTTATTTGATTTCTGAGAATTAGTTTTGTAAAAGCTATATGATTGTCTAAATATAAACAAAATTGAGTTTTCTTAAATTTAAGAGTAAATAACGGCTATTTTCATTGGATAGTATCATAAAGTATTTTGAATATTCTATGTATGGCATTTGCCTCATGAAAATAAATCATGCTCCTGCTAAATAAAATGTCATCTTTTGCAGAACTGCTCTAAGTTTTGGATTTGTACATCAGTTTTTCTTTGGTTTCCGTTACTTTGCCACCCCAGTATCTCTCCTGGAGTTCCTGACGACCAGGTTTTCAGCTATTGCCAGGTAAGTGTATAAAAAAAGAATCCCAGTGTTAGCAGGTCTCAGTCATCATAACGTTTTAAATCTTTAGATCTTGCAATACTGCTAAGTACCAGTGTTTTTAATTTTCTTTATAGAACTAAGGCCCGTGAAGCTAACTTACAAAGAATACAGAGAAGAGTGGTGGATCTACTGCACTTCTGGGTGGAGGGATTCTATCCTGTAGACTTTGAAGACAATGAAGAGCTGATAAATTCACTGCAATTCTTCATTGAGGAACAGGTGATGACTTAATCATAAAAACCATTTATTATCTGGGTTCTATTTTGGAACCTTAAATCTATTTGAGAAATTGGAAAATTTGGTCAGCAATCTTTTCTTTTGGAAGTGAGATGAAAAAAGACTGAATAACATAATTTGGTTTTCTCTTTGTAGAACTTAGCTACTTTTTCTGAGGAAGGCAAAAGGCTGCAGGAGTTACTTGCCCTTTGTATAGAGGGTAACAGTAGAGACCTTCTGACCAGCGTTACTGTGGGAGAAAATGTCCACGTGTATAAACAGAATGGCTCAACAAAGAAGGTCAGTCTAATATTGAAACATTTGTACTTTGGAGTTTGGTTGAGTATTGTTCACAGTATAGAAGTTTGAAGTGATTTCAATTGTGATTTGTATGATCTAGCTGTTTCATACACAAGCACAAGTCTTAAACTTTAGATATTTTAGTGCATAGATTTTATGAAAATTTGAAGCAAGCTTAAATCATTTTTACTGCAGCTTAGATTTTCATGATGAATTTGTAATTGTAAAACAATATTGCTTCATTCATAGATTTCACTGGCAGAGAAAATCCGTGAGGTAATCCTCCCTTCATGTCATTCATTTTTTTAACATTCCATCACAAATATATAAGCCATGTCATCCTTTTGTAGATAGTCAATTACAAGTTTTTCCTTTATTTCAAGTCCCAATTTTATGTAAACAAAATGTGCATGAATATTTTAAGTATTTTTTTTACTTAATCCTAATAATCCTAATTTGTCTTTATCATTTAAAAAGAAAATTATAATCAAAACCAGTCAAGATAATTGAATTGAATTTCCATTTATGCGAAAGAATTATGATGATAAGTAGTGTTTTAAACTCCGATATAGCTTTTAATATTTTGGAATGGTGATGAATATGAATTTTCATTTTTAATAATTTATAGATGTGAAATAACTGTAATTTTCTAATAATCTAAATAATTGAAATTATCTTTCTCACTAACTAATTAATCAATGAACTCAAAGGTCATCTGATTCGTTTAATATCATTTTTTGTACATATCAATTTACTTGAATCTTTTTTTTTTATTTCATTGGAAAGGGAAAAATATTATAATCAAGTAGTCAGTGATCTTTAAAGTTAAAAACATTTTCATAAAAGATTCCTCTTGGCTAGATCTGCTATGTTAGGGCTTGTTCTTCATTAATTGATACAGTATCTCAATAAGGTGGAGGATTATAGTATTCTATCCTCTCTGTATTTTTTATAGACCTCTTTTGATACTCAGGTCGTCAATGAAATCTATTGTGAGAGCTACTGTCTGGCCAGAGACTTCTGGTTCAATTTGTCTACAGGCATACAGACCAGAATTTTAACAGTGTATTAAGATTTGTATTTTTAACTAGGCTATGTTAATCATTAAAACCTAATCCAACTTTCATTCCAGTGGGATTCTTTAAAGACCATAGCACCAAAGAGCAGCAGTAAGGACCCGGCCTGTATGAAGTCGGGGTTCTCTGTGTGTTTGGAGAAGCGGCGGAACAGTCACCACATGGAGGAGGTCTACTTCCCTAAGATGGCGCGCCGGACGGACGCCTTCACGCTGGCCGACTACACCTCCCAGTGTATCGCGGAGCAGCTGACCCTGATAGAACAGGGCATTTTCCAGATGACCCACCCTGTCCATTACCTCAACTCTAAAGCCCTGGGGGTCAGTGTGGCCCTCACCATGTCAGGGACTCGCACACCTTCTATACTCAGGTTAGATATTGTGTATAATGAGGCTTCAATGGTATTCAGCCAGATTGTGAATTGGAGTTTAAAAGTTTGTGTACATATTGAAATAAAAATGCTTAAATTTAAATTAAATTAAGTTATTCAACTAATAATATTACTGTTTAATTTCATATGGGCACATTATAGAACATGCATAATGACTAACTTGCTATACTTTATAAGCTGTACGATTTGCTTCTCAAAAAGAAGTTTTACTAGAAATTTTGTAAAGCATTGAAATTGTAAGCATTTTTTGATTGTAATCTTCAGGTTGAATAACGTGGAGGATCAGTCTTTGCCGGGAGGGAGCAGTTTGTTTGAGTCAGATATTTGTGAGGACCCTGCCATACAGAGGATGATTGACCATTCCAGAGACCTCTCACACTGGGTGGCCGCCGAAATCGTCAGCTGTAGCTCATCAAAGGTAAATCAGAATACTGTAGTACACAGGTTCTCGCTGTAAAGCTTATTTTCATGCAATGTACCAAAAAAATTCTCTGTCTTATTTGAATTCTTTGGTGACATTTTGCATGTTGAAATTTTTTTTGTTTGAAAGAAGGTCCAAAGCAATTTATTAAATTTTTCAAGAAATTATTTTTCGTGGGAGCCAAAGAAGGTTGTGAAATCATAACAATGGGCAGAGAATTGTATTGAAACTGAACCTAAGAGGCTAGGACATGGTTATACTGTGATTTTTAGCTCACCTCAACGAAGTTGGGGTAGCTTATGTAATACCCTCGGCGTCGGTGTCGGCGTCCACGTCGGCGTCGGCGTCCCAGGTTAAGGTTAAGTTTTTTGGAGCAGTTTTCTTTTTAAGTACTTCTATGTCCTATATTGATTAGACATGCATGGAAGATGGTTCTAGTGTGTTTCATTGTATCAGTCAAAGTTTCCAGATGCTGCAATTTCAGCAAAGGAATGACCAGGTTAATGTTTTTGGAGCAGGTTAACAATTTTGGTGCAGTTTTTGGTGTAGGTTTCATTTCCAAGTAACTATAATCCCTATGTAGACCAAACTTGCATGGATGATACATCTAAGGATGGATACTACTGGGCTTGCTTCGGATGCTGAATCTGACCTACATTTTCCGGTTGATTGAACAGGTTTAAGTTTTTGTACATATTTTTTTAGTGTAGGTTTCATTTCCAAGTAACTATAATCACTATGTTGACCAAACTTGCATGGATGATACATCTAATGATGCATACTACCGGGCTTGCTTCGGATGCTGAATCTGACCTACATTTTCCGGTTGAGTGAACAGGTTAAAGTTATTGGTGCATGTTTCATTTCCAAGTAACTATTAGCCGTATGTTGACCAAACTTGCATGGATGATACATCTAAGGATGCATACTACCGGGCTTGCTTCAAATGCTGAATCTGACCTACATTTTCCGGTTGAGTGAACAGATTAAAGTTTTTGGTGCAGGTTTCATTTCCAAGTAACTATAAGCCCTATGTTGACCAAACTTGCATAGATGATACATCTAAGGATGCACACTACCGGGCTTGCTTCGGATGCTGAATCTGACCTACAATTTCTGGTTGAGTGAACAGGTTAAAGTTTTCATCAAGAGATGAAAATTCTCAAATTTGCTTCAGATGCTGGATTTTGATTACATTTTCATGAAGAAGAACTAGTTTAAATTTTTTATGTAGGTCTATTTCAAAGTATCAGATCAAAATTGCTTAAATATTTTCATTTTTGGAATGTACACTTTTTGTTGGTTAATTGTGTGAATTTGCCTTATTTAAAGACAACATTCGTTGAGGTGAGCTCTGTAATCTCTGATTACCTATGTTTGTATTTCCATTTCTAGAGTCAGGTGGCGGTGTTGACCCGATTCCTTCATGCCGCCCAGCTGTGTAAGGAGATGAGGAACTACGCCTCCTGTCTGGCGATCGCGGATGGTCTGGAGAACATCATCATCAAACAGCTCCCGGCCTGGAAGAATCTCCCCAGTAAATCCTACGCCGTGATGGAGGAACTGAAATCAGTCAGGGTAAGAGGGTACAGCTTAGCAATCAGGCAGAAACTAAAATTAGTGGGGAAAGGCAGTATAGTAAAACACAAAGCAAAGTGTCTGAGACCAAATATTTTGATGTGTTATAATTGAAATGGTTATATCTTTTGAATTCTTATTGAACACATTTGAATGGAAATCAATTCGCTGTAATTGTGTTTTACTATATAATATGTATGAAACTTAGTGGAACAGATGACACTTTACAAAAGTACTGTATTTTAGTCCATATATTGTAATATTTTATGGATTTCTTTTCGTTCATGGTATAATATATCTTTCTCTAATGGCAACAACTCAGACTTATTTTTTCAATGTATTGTACAGATGTTTTTGAAGAATGATGCCATGTCCTTAATGAAGCATGCAGACTGCCATCTGTATCCCACAATTCCCTCTGCTCTGCTCTTCCTCCTTCATGTGCAGCAGCAAGAAATTGGAAGCTTTAAACTGGCCAATGACATGGTCAAGTGGAGCAAGATTAGGTCAGTGTCTGATGTAAAACAATAAATGTGAAAAGATACTCAGCTTTTGTGGTTGGCTTTGGAATTTATTTCATAGGGCAGAATACATGTATTTGAATAACATAATGATCAAATAAAAATAAAATAAAAATTTTGAAGGAAAATTGATGTATACATAGTCTTATAACATTCTTTAGAAAAAGAAACAAGACGGGTTAATTAACAGCTGAATTGCATATAAATAATGTTTATATAAGCATAAATTAACAACTTTTTCAGAACCATCACCCAAACCATTGACCAGATTCGCATTTTTAAAGACCAGGTGTACGGGTTTGAGCCAGATTACGAGATGCAGGACACCTTGATGCAGAGGGTTCGGGAATTCAGTTCACAAGACATTCAAAGTATCGCCTCACAACATGACACTAACTACCACAAAATTCCCAGCAGTGGTGGAATTAGTGCAGCCTTCCGTAAAATGAAAGGGAAATTCCAGTCCAAGTAGAGGAGGAAGGAGAAGGGAACGTCAAATCTTTGTAGGAGTTAAAGGAAGTCTCTGCCCCATTTAGAATGGTTTAAAGGCCCAGCACAATGTTTTGATTGATGAGTTAAATGAATGTTTGTGAGAGGAACTCTGAAAACTTCCTGTCATTTCCAACCCTTATAAAGACAGGGAAATAGGCATTAACATTTTTATTGCAACTGTATGTAAATTATCTTGTACCTGGGGAGAAATAATTGTCTGGGTGTAGGGTATACACTATACAATGAATCTGAGGTCGGAATAAGTTGATAGAAGGGAGAGCTTCTTGTTATACAATTACAGCTTGCAATCCTGTATTCTGATATTGCTTTAAGCCATGTAGTGATATTAAAATATTTTATTTTTGATTTCGTTATATGAGTTGATGTAATTAACAATTGTCTTAAGAGGGTATAGATAGGATTGGATTTCCACTGCTGTTAAATCTTGCCCTGTTTTTTTTTATTTATGAATGTATACAAAAGTATAAAATTTGTGCCAAAGTTATAATGTATATGATTGTTTGCAATAATTATTTTTCTTTGTCATTATATAATAGTTCACTGAATGCAATACTTTGTTTATGTAAGCGGAAGAAAAACCAAAAACGGTCATCAAGTTTAGAAAATTTCAAGATCAGATTATCAAAGAATTGTTTTTTAATTCTAAGTCTTGACTCAATAATAGAAATTAAGATAGGAGAATGAATTTAGTGAATGTTTACTGAAAATGTCAGTTTTCAAAAGGAAATGTGTTTAAAATATTTAATTTTCTTCTATTTGTTTAAAGGATTTCAATCAATTTCAGTTATCTAACTGCCCATCTGCATCAGCTGAAATAAAGCACATTATTCTGAATACCATTAATATTATACAATTATTGCTGTTTTTTGAGGTCAATACAATGATTTAGCCATCTGAGGAGTACAATATTCACCGAGCCCGAAGGGCGAGGTGAATATTGTACTTCGAAAACAGCAATAATTATTTTATTATATGATTCACTGATAAAATGATACAGCTCATTCCTTGTTAACTTGCATTTAATTAAGTCCTATAGCCAAATACAAGAGAGAAACAGAATTAAAATGTGAATAAACCTTACCAGTCCTATCAATTTGAAATGTTGTTTTTTTTTTATCAATTTTAGTTTCCATGACAAAAATAATATAATGTCAGTCTTTTTATAGGATAAATTTTGAAAGGAAGGGGCATTATCAGGGAAAACTGACTGCCAAAGAGTAAAAAAACATGTTGTTCAGTAAAAGTGTTGGAGGTGGGAGGGGTCCCTGCATCCCTTCTTACCACCCTCACCCTAAAATATATATTCGCTTATGTTTTTTCACATGAAAAAAAAATCATAGTCGTTTAAATAGCTTTCCAAAACAATTTGTATCAATTTGGAATTTCCCAATCTATTTTTAGATCAATGTAGAGGAAATAAATCCTTGTATTGACCTGGAACGTCACGTGCAGGTCAATACAACGTAGTATTTCTTTAACATATCTGGATCTCAGCCAATCAGAGAGATGGAAAATATTCAGTCATATAATATTTAAGGTTGTACATGTTGATAGTTTATTTTACAAATAAATTGATTACTAAATTTTATGTTTATTTTTTGTATTCTAATTAACCGTCCATTTTATATGTGTAATATAGATGCAGTCTATATTTAGATTGATGTAATACAATATTATGTATATATAGAAGGCCTGGTATATTACAATAGCTTGACTGTGATAAATAAAAGATAAACAGTGTACCATAATACATTAACATATTTAGTGATATCGACACCTTTAATAGTTTTTATTTACATTTTTCATTAATTTTCATTAGATTTCATATTTTTATATATACACTTGTATTTATGTACTTAATATTTATAAGTATTTATTCCAAAGTGATATTGCATTTATATACGAAAGTTGTTTTGATGCATTCCTATTTTGTATTAACATTCTAACTTGAATTCCTTAAAAGGCTAGCTTGTACTTTTTATATTGTATGGTGTATGTTGAAAATTGTAATGTTATTTCCGTAAAGAAATCTGTGTACGTCTTTAACATAATGCACACATATCAAGTATTATTTTGATAAATGATTTAATTTTTGTACATGTATATGTATAAACACATGCTGAAACATGACAGTACTTCCAAAAATAAAACTAAGAAAAGATTTATCAACTATTTGTTTATTTTAAATTTTATAACGAATTACAGAATGATGAAGGGCAATTCCCATGGGACTTAATCAATAATGGGTTTTAGTGTTTGTGCTAAAAATTATTTTGAAATAAGCCTATAGTATACATCAATTTTTACAAAAAACACAACATGAAGCCAATGATAACATCGTAGAAATCACGTGACTTACGGGAATGTTGTCTGGTGACATCTGTACCGACTGTACAAACTCGTCATTGACATGCTTAGAGCACGTACACTTGTCAGAAATGATTTTATTGTATAGTTTTTAATAAGTGGTATATAATTTTTACTTCCTATATCTAAATGACCTTGGTTGCTCTTAATTGTCCTTGTTTTAGAAAATATCGGTCAAAATCAGGGACCTATATACAATGTACTTGTATTATTATAGGTCCCTGGTAAAATGTCCATTATGGCTGTGTTCATGCTGTTGTGTAAGATAAATTAAGAGTAATTTTAATTAAGTGAAGTATGTATATTTATCTTGCTTGAATATCCTTGAGTCCTTAATGAACCTTTAATTGTAATTGCTGTTGTGTAATATAAATTAAAAGAGACAATGGGTTTTAAAAAGTATGTATATTTATCCTGCTGGAATATGCTCGAGTCCTTAATGAACCTTTAATTGTAATTTCCATGGTGACTAATAGTATGTTAGAAGTGAGACAATGGGTTTTAAATAGACACAGGATTGACATATCCGCGTACTGTAGTTGCTATGCATGATGAATTAGTTCACTATCGGTGCAAAATTTAGTCCCGTCATTCAGTTTGTTTGAAATATAAGCCAGTCTTAAAATTTATATAGTTTCATATCTGAACAGAACATCGATCATTGAGTAGCAAATGTAGCAATAATTTATGAAAATCCTGGAAACAGGGAAAGTGAAAGGTTTGCATCCGCGTTTATGATGTTTATCATTGTAGGAGAATACACATGAAGACTGGTCTGGTCATACATGTATTTACTAAATTATAAAGCAAGATGTGTCATTTTAGTTCAACTGTTACTTGAAACATCCACGTGTGTTTTATATCATATTGATATTTTCTAGTTTTACTGGATTTTCTCTTCCATTTGACAGTTTAAGGATGTGCGTGTGCGCATCTTTTGTGTGTGAGAAATACATTTCTTTGTTGTGGATAATCAATAAAAGCCGAAAGGAATAAAAAGCCAGAGGAAAAAAAACACATTATAAAAATCCAGATAAGTATGTAACGATCTGGCGATCATGTGTGATGTTGATCATGCCATGATAGCAGCACATACTGCCTGCAGGCACTGTAAATAACGTGTGTATGACTTATCAATACTGCATGTGTGCTTAGCTCATACCACTATAGCAGTGCTTTGTATAATAACTGAAACTAAAAAAGAAAAGGCCCTTCAAAAACACTTACTGTTATAACCTAACGAAGTTACGCTCAGGAAGGGGTGCCGTAGATATAACGTACTGATGGAGCAGAGTTTTGTTTATGTACTATGATCCGTGGTGTTTGCATTTGTCAGTGTTTGTGTGGGTATACGTGGTCTAGGATTTAAATGAAAGGATATTTATAACCTTAAACATGGCGCCAGGTAGAAGGAGTAATATAGACAGAAGTTCGATCAACCCGTGTTTAAAATACTTCATATTCTTGTTCAATTTTGTCGTGTTGGTAAGTACGAAATGTTACGAACTGTTGACAATCTAGACATGTTGGACTCTTACGTTTAATTAATACATAATTTTATATACATGACTATTTATTGAGTACTTTCGGTATTGTTTATACTTCACTCGTTTATGCTGTTTTAAAGTTGTACTGGGAAAATAGTATTCATGTTTTGTGGCCAAAGATTACATGTGTGACTGAAAAGGGGGAGAGGGAGAAGAATTCTCATCTCATGGCCACAACAAAGTTAATGACCTGAATGTTCAACAAATGTAACAATTAAGTAACCCCCCCCTCTAATGGATGTTTTGAACATTTAACTATTAAATGTCAATGTTCTCTACATATGGGGAAAATACAGGATATACGTATGAAGTATGAGCTTCGGCCATCGGGATACTTCTCATTGTGTACATTCAAATTGAACAAATTATGTAATTTATAGCTGCTTATCATGCTAGTAAGCTATAGAGCCTCGCCCTTGATACTGTATGTAAACCTAAAATCGATATGTTTACTCATTCTATAGATGTTTAGATATATGTTTCAGTTTAATAGATGGGCGTATAATATTTTAGAATTGTTGAAGATGTAAATATTTGGCCAGAAGATGATTAACCAAAACATCAATTTTAAAAATAACTTGTGTGAATTTTTCAAAAACCCCATTTGCTTGTCATTATGAAGCAATAAAATAAGTATAGAGAGTTTCTTCTAATTCCGTGGAATTTTTTTTTTTTTTTTTTTTTTTTAACAAAGATTGAATTACAAGTCTTTACTTCCTTCTTTAAATTTTTTTCATATAAATAACCTTGCTACACCAAAAGTCACGCACGACAGTCATATCCCAATGTAGAAATGCTATCTATTGGGTGTTTAACCCGACGTATTTTGTCTAAGGGTAATAAAGGTTGAGTTGTTTGCTTAAATAGAAATATGACAGTAAATAAAGTATTTATGTTGGCTATTTTAATGGGGTGGAAATTGAATTTTTAACAAAGAATGTTCCTTCCCATCATGTACAGTTAATTACCAAAAAGTGTATAATCATGCAGTACAGGAAAATTGTCACTTTCAATGGACATTATGCACAACCACTGTAAAACAATTATTTTTAAGTTTTTAGTAACATTGCAATCCTTATTTGAAAATGTTCATTTAAAGACCACTTCCCCTTTTATAAACATAGCTTCGGGTCCAATAATGTAGCATCGATGTCTTTTTACACACGAATTCGTCCTTTTAACCAGTATCATTTTACAATAACATTCGTCGATGAAATACATTTTATACATTAAATACATCGTTACATGTATGTTCACCTAGCTAATATTAGAACAAGGCGTGGCATTTTATAAGACCTCACCAAACAAGCAATATCACGAGTCTATCCTTTAGCTGAACGTTTTTTTTTTAAATATCATAGTTCAGTTATTGTAAATTTTGAAGATATCAAACCCCTTTACACAGTCTGCTAAATTGGATAAACTACCTTCTTAATAAACGTTGAATTTCACGCTAACCAAAAGAAATGATTTTCTTCAATCAAACACATTTGATCAGTTTAACCAGGTACATCTGTAACCTAATTTATGTGACGTTTGTTTCAGATCGTTGCCTTAGCTACTGTTGGTTTGACGTCTTGGATCATACATGAAAAGGATAAAAAGATCAATTCCGTTATAGATGTAATTTTAGATCCCAGCGTAGTGCTTCTTTTTGTGGGATGTATCGCCACCCTCATTTCTTTTCTAGGGGCCATGGGGTCCCTCCGGGAAAACCGATGCATGTTAACTTGGGTAAGTATCTTTTAACTTACCTGAAGAGGTATACAAAATCAGACTATATATAACATTCCATTCAAATCCATTGTTTAAAAGTTAAGTGTGGTTAGTATTAAGTATTATTTTAGCTTACCCAAAAAGGTTTGCAAAATCAAACTGTATATACTAGAAGTTTTATATTGTATAAAATGGCTTAAAACTCTATGTGATCGATGGACAGGGAATGTTTACTCCTCCATGAGACCTGATCCAATCTCTGATGGTTAAATTAGATGTGAAAGAGTCAGAAATTGTTTGTGTTTGTATCAAACTGAAGAAAATGATATGAACTTTTCTTATACAAATCATTTTGAAAATTTGGAAAAAATTAAATGTAAATTTAAACAAAGAACTTTTGTTTATCGGAAAAATATAAATTCGGACACGGTGAAATTCGGAAAATACTAAAAGGTTTATATATATTTAGAGGTTTGTGTTTGCTATGCTCCCATTATTTGGATAGTTTCAAAGAACTTTTGATCTTGACCTCTGTTCATTATATCCATATTTTATGTTTGCAAATAAAATAAATTAAGCTGTGTTCTTGTATTACGTTTAAAAAACAAAACCAACCAGAAACAAAGAAGCAGATCGAACAAAAATGGCGTTTTCTAATTTTTTGTCCCTTTTTCTTTTTTTCAGTACTCCCGTCTGGTAACAGTGTTTATATTCATTCAGGTAGTAGGAGTGGTGTTTGTGTTTTTATTTTACTATGACAATAGTATACTCATTAGTCTAAAAATATACCCAGAAGACCTCTTCAAGGACGCCATCACAAACTATAGAGACGATGCCGACCAACAGGACTTCATAGACGGCTGGCAGAAAGAGGTGAGATCGCAGTGTACAATCCACCCATCAGCGCCGCAACAAACCGGCTTAGTATCCACTTTATTTCCACAAACCGGGTTTGTTGAAAAAGAATGGAACACTACACCCGTGGGTTGCGATGATGCCTACCAATTTTGGTTTGAATTTAGCCTACTATTATGTGTTTGGCATCTTGCAAACCAATGTCTTCATAAATCGCTACACAAGGAGATCCTTGTGTAGCGATCTATGTGAGCGGATCAAAGGATCTGATTTTAATCAGATTGGCAAAAACCTTTCTGCCAAAAAACTAAGAAGACTGATTTTGAAACCCGGGTGTTTTCACGGTTAAATTTTACTCCATTTTATTTTATCATATCTTACATCGTTTTAACATTGTGTTCACTTCCTGGAAACTGATAACTTTCCTTAAAACAAAATTTGCCGAAAAACTACAATCGCCCAAAAAGGGCCCCAAAATCATATTTTTAAATTGAGAAACTCATTTCGTGTGTGTGTTGTAGATGGATTGCTGTGGATTTAGTGATGATGATGCGGGATACAAGGCCTGGTCAAACAACATGTATTATAATTGTTCACAGGACAATAAGAGCGCCGAAAGATGTGCTGTGCCCTGGTCGTGTTGTGTCCTTAAAGATGTAAGGATTAGTTTATAGTAAAGTATACACGTCTCAATATTTTTTCTATCTACTTGCACCTCTTATAGTAATGTTGCATGGTATGATAAATTGTTCTCTTTTAGGGGGACAAGCTCAACTTACTTTGCGGAAGCGGGGCTTTAGAGAAAACGGTGAGTAAACCTATAAAGAAGTAAGCATATTTATTACTGTTTACAATTTACTAGTATTTACTGAACAAAATATCTTTTTATTCCACAGAGTACAGAGGTGTCTGATCAGATATATACCAGGGGCTGTTTAAAGGCCGTGAGGGAGTGGGTGGGGTCCAATCTGTTTGTGTTTGGGTGTATTATCATTGGGGTACTCGTCCCTCAGGTAAGTGTTACTATATTTAGTCTTTATTACTGAATATTTTTGTGACCTTTTTCGGTGGTAAAGCTAAATCGCGCTGTTACTATATAAAGTTATAAAATACACTTCAAAATAAGCAGATTTTTTTTTACCAAAGATTTATTTAAAAAATAATATGGATAAAACTTCATTTTGTTATTTAAATAGGATTTTCTTATAACATGTTTGTTTATTCTGCTTTGCAGATGATTGCAGTTTGCTTTGCAAGAAACCTTAACGACCAAATATCAATACAATTATCCAAATGGCGGTGATCTAGATGAACATTTTGTGCAAGAAACCTAGAAAGAGATTTATAATTCCTGGTGGATACTGTCAATGTGATACGAATCAAAAGTCCCAGACAATCTCGCTATTGAGATGAACTTTTTATATACAGCAACAGGTGTACAGGATTTTACATTATTGTGTATTAGTACATTTTAAAAAACAAACAAACATTACTAAGTACTATTACTTTATTTGCATTTTTTTTTGCATGTAATATACAAGCAAGTTAAATTTACTATTACAATCAGTATCTAATGTTCATGCGTATATTCAATGTCCATTATATACTTACTTGGCTTTATATACTATAGTATACCAGCAACAAAGAGGAATGCATGTAAAGCATATAATATAGAGTAACTTTTATCTTTTTTTCTCTCCACAACTGTTTAAGTTTTTAGCTTGGACTGAGATCTGATGACCATGAAGTAAATGCCATAACATTTAACTGTCTGCGTTTACTGGTTGTAATAATGAATATGTATTTACACTTTTTTTTTTTACACACGACGTGCATCGTAATGCTTCTAAAGAGACGCATAAAATGGTTTTAAAAATCCAAAGAAAAAACGGAAATTAACAATACAATGAAATTTATGAACTACTTGTTATTAAATGTTATTTTCATGTAATACTGTTGTTTTTGAACGAAAAACGGTGTAAGTATCCATACATATATTGAAATGCCGTACCCTATGTTATTTGTATGTAAATCAGTGACAATTTACACTTTTACACAACGCATATAATGCATATCATTTTGTATAAAGTTATATTTATTTTGTGAATGATTTTTGAAAAATAAAATTATTGATGAGCATTTACATATTTATACACCACTGCACATCTTGCAGAAATTGTGTATTTCTATCATTGTATATGATTTTGATCCACCAGAAATCAAATCTTTTCTTAAACCTTGCAATTCACTGTAAAACACATCCTGCATTATGTTCAAAGATGATGGCTTTAAATTCTCTTTGGATCAACCATAAGCTTGAAAGTTTTACAGTTGTACGGTTTCTCTTTCTTTCTTTTCTTTGAGGAAAATGTTAATTACTTTTTTTATTCGCAAGATTTTAATTTTTGCGCAATAACGCGAGACAGTGTAATCATGAAAATATCATTCTCACGTAAATTTGAAATATCATATAGGTCACCCCAATTCGTGAAACATTTGTCTCGTTTAAAGAATTAATGCCAATTTCGTGGAAATAAGGTATTACGAAAATTTAGTGATTTACAGTAAAGCAAATTTACCCTGTATTGAAACAAGCTCAATAAACGAACTCAGGAAAAAAACATAACCAACCAGACTCAAATTTCTGCCTATAGAAGACTGCACGATTATAAATGTGCTCACATTCTTGATAATATACATGTACCGAGTAAATGCCATACCGAGTAAAAACCATTACGAAAGAAACACTCATTCAAAGATACTTTGCATATTTTATGCAATTAAACCATTTTAACACAAATCCAAGTTGTTTTTATTCTAACATATTGAGAATGTACACATAGTACGAGCATATTATTAAAGAAATCTTGTATAATTAGTCTGTGCTCCTTCTTCTAGCTCTTAAGTCGCACTTCAAGGAATCTGCAATCAGGAGATTGTATATACTGAGCAAAAATGGAACCATTAGAATTAGAAAATTAAAGGAGACTTACCTGTAAGGTGAACTTTATATATATACACCAAGGAACGTTATTATAGATATGCAAGCCTACTCCCAGATCAGTATTTAACTCAATATGTGAATATTCTTGATAATATGCAATTTTACAGATGCTACATTATTATAATTTTATCACCCAAGTTCCCTCTCACGTAATACCCAACGTTCCTTGGTGCTTCGGAGAATTTCAATTAAGGATTTCAATCCCTAATGGGACCAAATTCTCTACCTTTAAATGTTCGTCAAGTATACAATACTCTGATATTATACTAAAGCATTTTATAGTGGAAAAGGATTGCCCACGAGAAATTTTCAAAAAGTTCATTAATTAAGCAGTAGTTAATTAACAAAGATTGCATTGAAGTCTATGGGGAAAAGCGTTTTTTCAAGATAAAAATTCAAATAATTTGAATATCAATAAATCCTGCGGTGGAAAGATGCATTGAAATATTAAAAATAGAATGATAATTGAAAACAATTTTTTCACCAGCTAAATTTTTTTTGATTTTTTTTTTTAATTAAAAAAGGGGAGATAACTCTTACCAAAATTCAAGGTCATGAATGAATGAAGGATGAAGGACACATCCCACTAAACATACTTATAGTAATAAATGGGAAGTATGTCTAAATAAACTGAGTATTCAATGCCTACATATCTGTTATGTTTTCAATTTCATTGAATTTGTTCCTATTAGGGATTGAAGACCTTAAAGTTCACCTTACAGGTAAGTCTCCTTTAATTTTCTAATTCTCCTTCACCACCAAGTCACGTGGGTATCACGTGAGATGTTTAAAGCAAATATTCACATATTGAAAATAGGAATTATACAAAGAAGAAGAATTCCTATAACTGTCAAAAATTTATTGAATATTCATTTCATCTAAACTACATGTTGAAGACAAAATTACTGAAATTTTTTATCATTATTTAAAACAGTTTTGTCATAAAATTTTGCAAATGTATTCTCATTAGACCATCCAACATGTGATAAGATATATGAAGAACGTGCGGCGGCGCTTGCAGCAGCGCGAGTGCTGTGTCCAGAAAACTTGCTGGTGTCAATGCCAGATTTAGATAACAGAGTTCTTATCCATGAAATACTTTGACGCCTCTCGGAACGGCTTTTGGGTTGTCAAAAGAAATCTATTTCCATTATCTATATTTTTCCGTTTTTGTTATATACACTTTAATACATGTCACAACACAAAGCATCTTATTTGGAAATGCTAAAACTGTAATTGGTTTTATATGATAAGATGGCCTAGATTGTTTTACAAGATTATTTACAAAAAACACAATTCTATATTCATAAACATGCATATTATCTAAATCTAAAAATGACAAAGTTTGTGCTCTCTGTCCTGTTACTAACGCTAATAGCATGACAAGCTTCAATGTCAAATCAAACACTGATAAAACTTCATTTTCCCCCATACTGCGAATAAACGATAAGACCGTGCTCACATCCCAAGTCTCTGTATACCGCGGTAAATTAGGACGGTCGATAAAGACTCCTCTCACGAAACGTCTAATTAGCGAATCAGAACCAATAGCCACATCATTAACAGGTGGTAATAAACAACTGAGAAAACTCCTGGCGGAATTAATTGTACTATATGAATATCCTTTATCAAAAAGTTCTGTAAGAAAGTCCAAGACAACTGTTATTGGAAAAGTATCAGATACTTGGATAGATTTGCGATTTAGAAATTCTAGCCACTTTTTCATATGCGAATCATACTGTTTTTTAGTTGACGCTCTCCAAGAGTTCATAAGAACCGGAATTGCTTTCTCTGAAATGCCTTTGGATTGATACATTTTCCGGATATGTGACATGCCAGAAGAAGCTTTGGGTATAGTTTGTGAACTTCTTGAGGGCGATGAAGTAAAAACGGGACTGAGGAAGAATAAGAGGTGCATCGACACACAGTTTCATCAAGAATGGGTACCAACTCGCTGTTGGCCAATGAACAATTATAATTGCAGCTGGTACTTGTTCTTCCACAATCTTTTTCAGAATTCGCTGGATCAAACTAAATGGAGAAAAAATATACACACATGAATACAAATTCCAAGTACATGTAAAAGCATCAGTAGCACTAGCACTCGGATCAGGGTGCCATGATATGTAATTAGTTAACTGATTATTTACTCGAGATGCAAATAAGTCGACAACTGGTCGAGAAAAGATACTGGTTATCTTCAAAAACAAATTTCTGTTTAACATCCATTCCGTATCATCGCGATTTTTACGGCTTTCCAAATCGGCCACAGCATTTAATGAGCCCTTGATATGGACAGCGGTAAGGAACACATTATAACGATAAGCCAAAAGCCAAATGTCTCTTGTTAATTGGTTACAAATCACCGACTGAGTTGATCCAAAATGATTTATGCAGGCTACAGCCGTGGAATTATCAATGTGCAGTTTCAAATGCTTATCTCTAATTTCATTCTTGAAGGACCGGAGAGCTAAATAGACAGCAAACAGTTCTAAATAATTAATGTGAGGATAATTTGAGCTGTCAATCTGCGACCACGGTCCTGATTTTCCTATTTTTGACCAAAGTCACTGAGCCTCAATATAGAAGCGAAGTCTTTAAAAATATGTCTACAATTATAAATTTATAATTAAAAGCCAGTTTGTCAATGTGGTGTAAAAAAAAAATGATTGTCGCAATAACAGAATATTATTTTGACTGACAAATCTTAAGGACCGGAAGCTTGCACAGTTTTGCGTCAGTTATGTTGCAGGAAACGGATATGCTGAACAAGATGCTGAGAACGATATGTTTTTCAGAGTAACCTCTGCACTCTCTTATAGATAAGTAAATATTTTGTTTATCGTGGAGGAAGTTTTTCTTTTCTTCGCCTTCCAAAGGTCACAGCTATGTAGTGTTGGATGCTGACCCTCATCCCGTTGTTTATTAAATAAAGATGGATTCTTTGAGGAACTTCTTTCTGTGTTTATTCTCCTTAATAACAGTCTCTTACGGTAGAGATATTGTTTATTATGTAGCGATTGATGAGATCGACTGGACATACAAACATACGGACCAAAGGTGAGACCCCTTCATTACAAACCTATCATTATACTGGCCACACCCAATTTCAACAGAGAGAAATAAAAAAATTTTTGATAAATCTGGATTATTCATGAAAAAATGGGGATAGTTTAATCACATTACCACGTACCTATCGAAATTGTATTAATAATTTTAAAAGTTATACGATAGAATAGATTGGATTGAAGGATGTTTGATATTAAGATTTAAACCGATTGTCTCTGCTTCTTTGAATTGGAATTGTTTGAAATTCAAACTGCCAATACTTACTACACCAATTAAGGTTCTCATACTAAATACACACACTAAATACACACTGATACACCTATAATGTAATAAAAGACTACTAGTATTTATTTGTATGTTCAGTATAATGTCGACATATATTTGTTAAAACAAAAATTCTTAAACTGTCATATTTTATAACCAGTACCTTTTACCAAGACTAGTATGTCCACATATTTCTACCATCATCAATACCAAAATAATTAATGCATGAGCATTTAGCACCAAGAATGCATTTTTACGTCTTTAGACTAAAACAATTTCCTTTCAGTGAGTCTATCTTTAGAAAAGCAGTTTTTCGTGAATATAAGGATCAAACCTTCACGACAAGAAAACCTGTAACGTCACAACATGGACTTCTTGGACCCGTAATCCGGGCAACTTCAGGGGACACACTGAGAATACAACTCAAGAACAATGCCAAACGACCGTACTCATTTTATACAGACAATCTTAACACAAAAAGGAACGAATCAGGTATCATTTTACATTCCTGCTCTCACCTGCATTTGGGGTTCCTGTGTCCAAGTTGCTTCGATACGCAATAAGCACATGCTTCATCAATCAAATCAATTTCCAAATGGTACAGAGTCCTGGCAAATAAGTTAGTGATACAGGGATATGAACATTCTCCTTAAAATTCAACTTTTGGAAAACCTGTTCAATAAAAATCGTAATGTTCTTTTAAAAGACATGAAAACCCAATTAAAAATTTTATTTTCTCACAATTAAGGTGCTGCCTCCGTGGGAAGTCTTGTGCCCCCTGGGTCTACACTGACGTACGTGTACACCGTCACAGACGCCAATGTACCCCCAGCATCGTCCATAGAGCAGTGTATGACGTCACTGTATTATTCAGACGTCAACCTTATCAAAGACACAAATACTGGCTTAGTCGGAATGATTGTTATTTGTAAATCTGGTAACTATTTCCTCAAAATAATTTTTTTTAATTTTAAGATAATTACCCAATTGCAAGTGAATATTCACAAAAGATGCAGCATTCATTTTATACAATTATCAATATGAGAAAAAAGTCCTATGTTATCTTTAAAGCCAAATTAATAAATAAATCAAGATAAATAAACAAAAAAATGAATGAATATATAAATAAATTAAAATAAAATGATTAAACCTGTAAAACAAATTGCAGACGACACGTGCTACTAACCCGCTTAAACTGAGTTCGATTCTGGTGTGCATCCCTCAATGCAAAAAAGAAATCATCTGGCCTCAGGATCATGAAACGAGACCTAGACTTCAGTCAAATTTTCAATCGCCTTTAAAATGTTTATGAATCACTGAATTAATCTCACAATTTGCAAATAAAAGCACTTTAGTAGATCAATATTGAAAGATATTTTAATTTTGATCTGCTCGACTTCCACGTACAAAATCAAATTTTAAATTAAGAAAAATATATATTAATTAAACATCCTTATAAAGTGCTTTAATATTTTCCACTTTTTTGGTTTACACATCGTATTTCTCTTTTTCTTTTTCCTATTTCTTTCTTTCTTTTTTTAAAATTCATTTTCTTTTATCAGTTTTATTTCAAAGAATGAAATATCAAAGTAACATAAAGGAATTTTTTATCACTTTCATTTAATAATAAATAAAATTATCTTTAACAAATAAATCCATCATGTGGTGACAATATGTTTTCAAAATTGTCTTTTCTTTCCCTTTTCCCCCCTTTCCGTAGTTTTAAGGTACACAGAAAGCGTGTGGAAAATTATGAATCCGCCCTCATGTTTATGACGTATGTAAATAAACTATTTTTAACAGAATACGTCACATGACCAAGCGAGTATTGCATCACGGGTTGAAACAGAAAGATACGCTATATATACCTACGAGACCGGGTGCAAAGACTGTAGAAAAAAAACTATATCAGGTGAGTTGAACTATTAATACACAAAGCATTGCAATATTCTATAACTTAAAAATACACTTGTAAACATTCTTAATGCTGCGTTAATTGTTCATAGGTAAAGCCTGTATTTTTGTTTGTGTAAGCATTCAACATGTTCAATTCATAATATGAAGCTAACAGCTCTGTAGTAAAACAACATGTATGACATTTTTAAATGATTTTCCTTTCAGGTGTACTTGTATCGCCAATCCTGGATACCGACATTGATAGCACTTCCGGTAATTCGTTGCTATCCAAAATGGCGGGAAATACAAATCAAGAAAATTTGGCAGTGCAGACTGCAGAAATAAACGAAATAAAAGCAGAATTTAAGGGTTCCTGTCGGCTTTTAAAGGACTTGGGAGAATTTACACACGTTCTTACTCTACAGCCGAGTGGGCAGGATATTGTATACAAGTTTCAAATGACAGGTAAGCGCGAAATATCCAATTTAAATTGTTGATCATTTCATTGTAGAAAACATATATATTGATAAAAAAGCCAACATCTCTTTGTGGATTGTTGCGTCTTAGTTATCATAATGTTCTTTTGTTAACCTTAGGCAGCTATCCACAGACGAAGCCTAACATCATAATTCGATGTCCAGTTTTAAGTGAAGAGGAAATAGCTGACCTCGTAAAATCGATGGAGACTGACATCGTCGGTGAACCAATGATCCAGACAATGCTGAACAAAGCAGAGCAACACATTACTGTAAACAAAATCAATGTCAACAGCAAACCAACCACGGGGAAAGGACATTATGAAAACAAAGGCCAAAAGAACAAAGATAAACGACGGAAGCGAAAGGAGAAACAAGAGGAAGAGGAAGTTAAAGATGAGAAGAAGACGTCAATGAAGACAGCAGATGACGTCATCAAGCGGATCCAATGGGATGCAGATCTTCCCCAAGACGAATTTATTGTTGGGTACATAGACAGATTTCTCGGAATTCAAGAAAAATACTTCACTTCTTTCAGCTGGGAAGATATTGCCAGCGTAGATTATAGTGTGCTGGCGGTACCTAAACACAGGATTGAATATTTTAAGTATAAAGATATTAAAGTTTGGGATAAACCTCGAAGGATCGACAACGTGTTCGGTTCCACGGGTAGTAAAAAGACAATTTACGACGTAATTGCTGAATACGAAAGACTTAAAATTGACACTTCTGAGAAATCCGAAAATAAAACTGGAGATGACGATTCTGATGACGATAGCGATGACGACATTTGTGTAACGATTGATGGCACTAGTGCAACAAACTTTCAAACGAACGATGATTCAGATGAAGAAACTGCGTCGGCTGGATTCGATGAAGAAATGTGTGATGACACATTTGATAAATATTGGAGAAACAAATTACGGCCAAATTATTTCTTGGCATTTCGAGTAACAGATCCTGATATACTCCAAACGACGGAGGGTATTCAAGACGTCATCATGGATCATGAGCCTCGTTTTGAAAGCTGTTGCCTTCCTCTTCATTGCCTTCACGTCACCTTGTGTACACTAGGTTTGGACACACCAGAACAAGTTGCCCATTGCGTGGAGGTGCTAAATAAACTTAAACCAGAGTTAGCTTACATGGCGCCGAAGGACACTCCTCTTGTATTTAAGGGAATGGACCAATTCTTTAACCGTGTGGTATATGCGAAAGTGAAGTGTTCCAAAGAAATGTACACATTTGTGGACCATCTAAAACTGTGTTTGAAAAATGAGGGCATTGAAATCCGCGACAATCACGATTTTGTTCCGCATATGACCATTGTTAAAGTAACCCGAACCGTAGGAAATGCCACTGGGAAGAAATACATACCTCCCTGGGTTTACTCCAATAAACTTGATGTGGACTTTGGGAAGCAGGTGTTTGACAATATTTTCCTCTGTCAGATGTCACACGAACGACGTAAAGACGGGTTTTACGCTTCACCAACGAGTCTGTCATTTTAGATTTTGAATTTAATCATAATAAAACATTGAACTTTTAATTTTTCCAGTAACTAGTACTTAGGAATATTTGTTTTATTAACAAAAATTTAAAAATATGTGAATGAAATATTTTAGGAAATAAATTGATTATTGCTCAGTTAATTTAGCGTGTTTTGTTCAAAATAGTTTGTAATATAGAATTAACAGTTGCAGCCGATGATATGACTGTGCTGTATCATGAAGAGGAACATCTTTTTTTTACACGATGCTCTATAAAGTCTATCTTGTTAGTCTTAATTGTCTATTGCAATCTTTTGTTTCGCTAGGTCCAAACTAAAGTATGTTGTAACAATGACCTATGAATTGCAAAAGGTCTTCATGGTCACTAACTGTCGTATTTGAAAGTGTATATTCAAGCTTTCGCTGTCAACACCCACCCACCCCATGGAAAAAGAAAGGACTGTAATATACGGCAAGAGTAATTGATTTTTTAGCTGCAGAACTGTAACACAATATAACTTCTTAAACAGAACTGTGACCGTGCGAATTTAAAAAGGGACAAAATTGTTAGCAAGTGTTAAAGGGCGAAAATAACCTGTGTACAGTATACGGTCAAAGACTAATATATAAAACATAACGCCACAGTTCTGCAGCTATTGAATTTTACAGGTACGTATAACCACTGGTATCACTTCTTTTAGATGTACCTTCTGATGTGAAAGAGATATTCCTCCATTATGGAACAATATACGAGACCGAAAGTTGGTACGCCACTACGAATGGTACCAACAGCGCTCAATACACATCCTTCCCCACCATTAATGGCTATACTCACGGCAATCTGCCTGATATGGGTGTATGCGTCAACGAAAAAGTTCGTCTGTATATGACGTCATTAGGTGGCCAAAACGACATACACACTGTAGTTCTTTATGGACATCAGTTTGAAATTAAAAATCAAAGGTAAATCTTACCAATGAAACGGCATACAAAGCAATATTAAATACAATTTTATTGTTACTTTTTTCTTTTGTAAAATTCATTACATGTTTTGGCATGGCGTAGACAATGATATTTTGATATTTTGTTTCGTTTCCATTCCTTAAATGTTCCAAAAGAACCGATGCTCTGAGTTTGTATCCTGGAGCTTCGGTCGTTGCAGAGTTTCTGACGTTAGAGGAGGGACTTTGGCTATTGACAACACAACACAAATCAGACAACCGTAAGGCTTACATTGCAGATAAATAGACAAAATTGGTCCAGAAAAGACACCATTAATTATTATAACTCTTTAAATGAATAATAAATTAGGATAAAAAATTAGATCAGAGCATTTCTAATTTTTTATACAATTTTAAAGTCATAAGAGCAATTAGAATAAATCCCTACCACCTTAATTAGCGTGTTACATGGGCCTCCTCCTTCTGCATTTGCTTCTTTTTGCAGTTTATGCGAGACTACGAGTATCTGGTTGTAGCAACTCTCGTCCAGAACAAAAACTTTCTGGCAACATCCGGAAATACTACATAGCAGCCGAAAAGGCAAAGCTCTCCAACGGGTATCAATGTTTTTTTCTTTTAATTTCTCAAACTTTTCTATTCCGTAAACACCATAAGATACGTTTAGATAAGCATAGTTTAAATCATGAATACACATTTGTAGAAGCACAGCTGGACCTATCGTTTTTCAAGAATACACAAACAGTAGATTTAATACAAAGAAAGAAAGCAACATCACTTTAAATGGAAAACTGGGTCCAACGATCTACGCTGAAACAAGAGATCTGCTGAAAGTGGTGTTTTACAATCGAGCAGATAGGGATCTGTCATTGTATCCCCACGGGCTGAGAGTCGGCAAAGTCTACGAGGGGGTGTTCTATGATGACGATTCTACATCACTAGGTACGTAACAAATACAGAAATAAAAAAGGTCAAAGAAATGGATTTAATTTTGAGTTTTTCTGGATTTTTTTTACAAACATGTCGCCTCTTGCAATCTGAGAAAGATATGCTCTGTCTGCCAAAACCCATATCCCTGGTTTTTGGAGAGAGGAATCCATGCATGTGACTCGAAGAGCATAGATCGATGGAACTGAAACAAAGCCTATTTCACTTGGCATAAAAACATAATTTACTCCCCATTACAGTAGTTATGAAGGACAACAACCAATATGAGAGACTTTCCTTTGTAGGTAAGAAAGCTGTTCCTGCAAACACTCTGAAGACGTACTATTGGAGTGTCCCAGACAACGTATCCCCCACGCTGTATGACGATCCTTGTCTAGTGCGACATTACACTTCTGGTCTTGGTCATGACGAGGAAACCTTCTTGTTTGGTCCAATCAAAATCTGCGAAGAGGGGTATCTGCCACCAGTAATTTGTTTTTATTTCTCTTTATAATGGTGTCAAAAAACTATGAAATGTTAAAAATAAGCAAATTCCTCGCAAGAATAACTGTTTGATTAGATGTAGATAGCTACGCACAGGTTAATACTAGTACTTTTTTTTAATCGCAAAAATTAAAAATTAGTTTGAACATGCTGGGTTCTTCAATTCTATCACAAAGTTTTCCTATGTTGAATCGTAGGAGAAAGAGAGGGAAATTTTTATGGTGCACAAAGATGAAAAGTTAAATGGTTTATCACCGGGTGGTTTTCCTCCTTTGTCTGTTTGTCTGGAAGAAAACTTGAACATCCATCTGATGTCGTTTGGTACATCGGAACCTCTCAGCTTTATCGTAGGTGGAGGCATCATAAAGCAGAGAGGTCACGTTCTAAATGTAATGGAGGCTAGAGAAAATTCCATAGCAACGTACACAGTTACCATGGTGAAAACAGGTGACCAATCGCGTTTCATACAGGGATGATGGAACTAAATTATAATGTAGTGTGATGTTTTGTGTAAAAGTATGAAATTTATTTAACTCAAAACATTTTTTAAAAAAATTGATATACATTGTATGATTTCTGGTCAAATATCACAGGAAACTGGCCCATAAGAAGTTTAAGTAGCAATAATGCTTCCGTGACGCTGACTGTTAAAGACTGTGGCGTGTCAGTGGGCTTTGTGTTGAGAGGCAAAAAACTAAACCATAATATTGGGATCAAAGAAGGAGATTGGGAGTACTCACAACTTTCTGACTGGGCAAGGTACAAGCATGTGAATTTGAAATTTTTCAATTAAAAAAAAAAAAATTTATGTCACGACCCTAGTTTTTTTTTCCAGCAAATCTGCGGGTTACCAAATGGGACCACAATTTAAGAAGGTGATGTTTGCAAAATACTTCAGCGAGTTTTTTATGTTTGAAGACGTTCCACCAGACCCGAGAGACAAAACATTAAATGGTCCACAGCTCTCAGCCAATGTTGGTGACAGAATTATCATAGGTAGGACACCTTGGTCATACATGTCCAAGAACAAAATCGATGTCGATATCGACATTATTATATCGATATCGTATCGATATCGATCCTAACTAGAACCATAAATTGGAAATTTTGGATACCATATACATGTAATTATGAGATTAGTGCTATGTCGATGTCGTCAATATCGACAATACCATGCATGACGATATCGTATCAACATCGATTCTGATATAAACAATTTATTTTTAGAATTGAATCATAGCATAATGGTTCATTATTGGCACGAATATGTGAATAAAACGACGAAGGGTCATATAGAGGTTGTTATTGTATTGAGTGAGATTACGAGTAAGGTTTTACGTCAGTGTGGAAGTTGGTGAAAACATTATTTTTTAACAATTGTGATTCGATATCGATACGATATCGACAGTAATGCCAACTAATAATAAGTACAATCTTCTTACATGTAAACTATTTAAAACATGGAAACACACAATAGCAAGGACAATACTAAGCAAGGGTTGAACAAACATGATTTGATATCGATGATATCGAAGTAATATCGTCGATATCGACACCACAGAGATAACTTATTAAAGGAATAGTATTCAAGTTACTCACATTAAAGAAACAATATTAAGGGTTGTTACCATAACCCATTGAGCAATCATGATTTGATATCGAAACAATAGCGTGGATATTAATTAAGGAAAATGTCATAAAACAGAAAGTATTCTATTATGCACACAAGTATAAAGATTTTAGCAAACTATAAAAAAGTAATCAGTCGATATCGTAACTACACCGTATTTTGAATACCTAGGTTGGTCCTATAGATACGTTGAAGTTGCTTTTTCGAATAGATTTATTACATAATATTCTGTTATATGAGTAATATTGCCCCCCCCCCTTTCCATGAAACTTTGATGAAAAACCTTTATTATGAAAAAATAACAGTATGTCCTTAAACGAAAAAAAGCTGCAGTCTTCAAAGCATAAAATATTTTCATCTGCCATGAGGCCATCTGAAAAAAAAATAACGTAAATTCATAATTTCAATGGCTTTAAGCGAATTGTACAGTATCTTGATATTTTGATTAAATTATAATATAGAGGTCCGTGTTTGCTCTGCTCCTATATTGTACTGTTTTATGGACTTTAATATTGAATACTATTCGTTATCTTCCTATCCTTCATGCTAGCAAAATTAGCATACATTGTATTCCGTATATAGTCCTTTCAAACTCTTTTTTTCTTTAAAATTAGAAATGAAAAATATGGGAAAGCGCAAATACTCCCTTCATGTTGATGGACTTAGCGATTCCGCTGATGCGGACATCGGTGATGAGGAATCAACAAAGATCACCTGGAATATTACAGAATCCATAGGGCCGGGAAGTGCAGACCCTCCGTGTATCCTAAAGGTAGTACAATATATACAGGTTCTACCAAAATTGGAAATGTCACCCAGTGGCGGATCCAGGAATCTTACAATTGGAGGGGTCAATAGTCACATCCAAAATAAAAATGATTTATTGTCATGTATATTTTGGACACAAAAGGGGGGAGGGGGGCTCTAAATCCGCCATTGTCACCTTTTATTAAAAAGTTTTGTAAAATTATTTGAATCACTTTTCTTTCAGCCATATTACTCCAAAACCAGTACACAAGACGTCCCCTCTGGGTTATTTGGTCCACTAGTGATCTGTTCCCCCTCTGTGGCCCCTGAGACGGTGGAATCGACCCGACAACAGAAAGTGTTTATGGTGGGCGGTGTGGATGAGACACAGAGCTGGTACCGGGAGGAGAATCTAAAGAGTTACACAGGAATCGTCAACACATCGGACCCTCGCTTCACTGAAGCCAATGCCATCAGAGGTTTGGACTTCAATAACTTCAATATTAACAAAATTCACCCTCAACTGAAAACCACATGCAAAAACCATCATCCTATCAATACATCATGATCATCAAATTATGTATTCGGTTCACTACAATATAGAAATTTATGTGCTATGTAAAGCAAAAAAAGTTGAAATTTTTAAATAATTCTGCTTTGTTGAGATTTCTCATTTATATGTATTAACAAATGTTCATTGGGGTAATGGTTGAATTTCTGATGTTAAAAATTCTACTTCCACAGTTGTGAATGGCTACTCAGACGGGACCATAAAGAACATGACGCTACCCTCGGGAGAAGATGTTTATTTCCATTTCCTTAACATTGGGAAGCATCTTGTAACCATTCACTTGTATGGCGTGAACATCGGGGACTCAAATCTAGAGGGGATGGGGCGAAGCACTATCACCCTGTACCCCTGGGCCTCCAAGTCCTTCATGACTCGATTTGAGACCCCGGGGAGTTTTCTTTATGAGGAACTGTTAACAGAGAGATATACAACACGGATCTCCGGTTACTACACAGTTGTCGCTGAGGCAAAGACAACAGAATAGAGAAACACAACTTCCGTTTCAAATATAAATGCTGCAATTCTTCTATTTATTTTATAGCTAAGCTGCAATACTTTTTGGAAAAAACAGTTTTAGCTTAGCTCTGCAAGCCCAAGCAGTGCCTTGTTAAATTCTTTGTATTAATCCATGCATATGAAAATTGTAATCGGAAAAAAACAGGGCATGTTTGTCTAGTTGATTCTCTCTATCAAATGTTCACCACTGATATCTTACTGCAAATTAGCAGAATCCTTTACTATAGTGTACCCCAATAAATCAATATTTTTGCAAAAAAACAAAAACAAACTATGAATGCAACAATATCTGTTCATGGAACAAGATTCTTCATGACATTAAAACAGCATTTTTTAATCTTTTTGTTTTATTGTGTTTCATACAAAAAGACAACACTGATAATCATACCTCATCCTTTTCATAGAAAATTTATTACAAATATTTAAATGAACACATTTTTTCTGCCCCTACATGCAGCTTTGACCACACAAACATTATAGAAATCCCTTGTCATCCACTTGTGTTTGGCCAAAATACCGCATGAACATTCGAAATGCATCATTGTCCACTATTGTTTTGCTACATCGCTGTAGTGCACATAACCCCCTGTTAGCTATCCCTTCAGTCTATTTCGTATCCAAGGGGGTCCTTGTTTTGATCGAGTACGGCCAGAGAAGACTCCCTGAACAGATGAAGTAAGTGTTGAAGCTCGTCTTGTCTGAACACCTACAACATCAAATAAATATTTTACATTTAAATTCCTGTGAAATTCCTATTAATAAAATGTCTCTACCTTTTAATATTGTTTCAAATACAGAAAAAAAATTACATAAGCAATGTGGCAACAAAAATTACATTAGCAATGTGGCAACCATATCAACAAAGACTGACGTTATGGTTTGAATTAGTCTTACTTTATACAGCGCATGCTGCTCTGAGGCGATGTGGTCAGCCAGCTGTAGACACTCGGGGTACTGCTCCGTCTTGTGTAGGATGTCGTGGAGGAGAAAACAAAGCTGAGGGAGGATCAACTGTCGGAGGGACTCCATCTGCTGCTTCCTGCCCGGGTCCGAGTCACACTGAAACACATAAAATATTAACCTTCATTCTTATCGTAAATGTTAGGACAAACTGAAGGATAAATGATACAAACATTTACATTCTGCTCTCAGGGAGGTATATAATAAAACTATTTTTACCTCTTTCTGGTCCACCATCCAGCCACCATCAGCAAACAGTAGAACATTATACATCAGCTTTGTTGTGTTCTGAAATGAAATACAGTTCCACTCTCATATTACTATTTTCTACTACTCGATACTTATTTCAGGAAATATGAAAGTCATGAAAGGGGTTTCATAAAGAAAAATATTTAATACAAAACAAGTAAAACTGATTTTTTCTTTAGCTTTCTCAGACACAGTATTTCAATGTTTGGAAATCTGATAAGCAGAAATGAGTTTAATATAATTTTAAGCTAAAGACCCCCAGACAGACGAGTTACGTCCAAGACACGATGTAGTTACGATATCGACAGATTACTTTTTTATAGTTTACTATAATATTTCTCTATTGTTGTGTATTTATTACAATACTTTCTGTTTTAAGAAGTCTTCCTTACTGTCAATATCCACGATATCGTGCCGATATCGAATCATGATTGTTCAAAGAATTATAAAGAGTTATGGTTTCCATCTATAATACTAGGATTGCGTTTTAACATGTGTTACTTGAAAACTATATTTTATAAAACTTTCCCTGTTGTGTCGATATCGACGATATCGACTATATCACTTCGATATCGAATCATGTTTGCCCAGCCCTATGTAAATACCATTCCTGTTACTTTGTATGTATATTTATGTTTAATTACTTTTACGATGATTGTACGGGCCATATCGACGATATCGTATCGATATCAAATCCGAATTGTTAAAACATATAACTTAGCAAACCTTCATCCTAATACAAAATCTTTATATTTAACATATCCCATGACAATATGTTCTGCGTTTCTTCATGAAACGGTTGTGCATATTTACTTTCTGATTAATAAGTTTACACACTGTCGATATCGACGATATCGTATTGATATCGAATCATGATTGTTAAAACATATTTAACAATTTTCACCCTCACCCAACATCTTACTCTAAACCTAATCCAAAACAAAACAACCACTAACACTTTACTTATCATAATTTAATTTTTATATTCATGCTAATAATGAATGGACTTGACATCACTTGTGACCTTGTAAAATTATGTTATACCTCACTGTGAAAACAAATTCTACAAATAGGATCAATATCAATTCGATATCGTCATGGTATTGTAGATATCGACAACATCGACATAGCACAAAGTCGCATATATGGTACCCCATATTCATACATGCCAACTTTCCCGATTTAGGCGGGATCCTCCCGATTTTACCCTCTCATCCCGCTTTCCCTATCGTGAAAGAAAAATTGCCCTAATTTCCCGATTTGAAAAAATCACCAAAATTTCCGATTATAAAAGATTCCCATAACCGCTGAATTTTGACAAGCGGGATAACAATGTCAAACTTGTTTATTCAATGCACTCAGGTAAGTTTCATTGTGTATTTAACAATTAATTAGCCACAGGAAATCACTTCACGCTTGATCGCACGCAGTTGTCCTGGTACAAGTACCTCATAGCTTGGGGCAATTAGGGGATTATCTTGTCAGTTTTAAGGGGTGTGCAAGTGAAACACATAGATAAATGTGATAATTGTTAGTCATTTTTTTAAAAACATAAATTAAAGACAATGAAATACTAATCAAACTATAAAATCGGAATCCAAACAGATCGTTTTTTGAAAACGAAAGTAGAAAAATACAAAGCATAGCTGCTGATTTTATCTACCTATAATGAAAAATATTGTAAAGTTTGCCAGTTAAAATATTATGAAATTAAGATGAAACAATCAAGTGTATGTCAATTAGAATTTCTTTTCCCTTCCTTCTCCCAAATTTTATAGGTATGTGCATGACTTAAGGAAATATTCACATGGCACCATCAAGCCTGACAAATTTCATGACTGTAAAAAAATAATTCTTCTTTGGATAGGTGGTATAAATTTCAGTAAATTTAATACCTTATTAGAATTTCTAATTTATTGAAGTATAAATAAAAAATCTCAAAAATGTTTCCAGAAGCAGGACTTTACAGTATCAAAACCTCATATATTTTTTAGCCTTTGAAAAAGATGATTTAAAAGTTGTGCAATTTTCAATTTTTCACTGAATTATGTGTCCTGGTACAAAAAAAAAACATGTTTTTAATGAGAGAGGCACTTATTTTAGCAAAAATATTTCAATTTTTTAAAATTAATTTTTTGTGTTAAATTAATCCTTTAGTTGTATTAATAAGTGATATCAAATATTATAAATTTAAGAAAAGATCATTTCATTATCATTTAATTTCACGACAAAATGTCGCGAATTTAGAGCTTTGAAAATTGTCGTTTCCTAAATCCCCCATGGGAATTTTCAAAAGTTGGCATGTATGCATATTTCAAATTAATAGTGCCCTTCACAATCGATATTGATATGATATCGACATAATATTGTCGATATCTACATCAAATTTGTTCTTGGACATGTATGAGACAGACCTCAGTTTGAGCGAGAAGCCCCCTTTGCCAGCGCTCCAGTTCTTGTTCGTACTGTTTCAGGCGATGTTCAAAAGCCACTTTTTCTGTGAAGGAGGCCGCATGAGGTGCCATAGGCTTGACTGGCTTTGTGTGGTGGAACTTAGTGAACCATTCATTAAAGCTATCCATCGCATCCTAACAAATACAGTAACGGTAAATTAAGGCACCATCTAGAAATGTACAAGAGGCTGAAACTGCTGACATACATTTCTTATAATTGATACAAGTGGTATATAATTTAAACATTTTGAATTATAAAATTAAACAGGCATTAGAACTTAATTAACTTTCAATTTTTGCACCAAAAGTTTTTTATATAAATCACAAGAAACTTACCAGATAGGACTTGATACAAAGGTACTCTCTGATTGCATTCTCATCCTCAACTGGGAGATCATCATTTCCTGTCTGAAATATATAATCCACAGTCATAATAATCAAAGATTTCATTCCTGTTTGAAATATATTATCCATGTCAACATCATAATCAATGATTTCAATTACTCATTTCCTGTCTGAAATATATTATCCACATAGACTTCATAATCAAAGATTTCAATAATTCATTTCCTGTTTTTGATAAATATATTGAATTGACACATAGACTTTAAGTACCAGTTCGCGGTGAGAAATATTCGCGATGACAAATCAAAGATTTCGCAAGCGAATAAAAGTTCATATATAATCCAAATTGATGATACATTATCATTGTGTAAAAGATATATATACACACCTGTATGTGCCAGTTTCTGTAAATGATGTCTATAGAATCCACAGGTAGTTTATCAAACACCTCCCTGGCTGCAGCTAATTTCTTTACAGCTGCAATAAAAAATTCAGACAAAAACTTTCATGATACGACTTTTAATAATCATCAATACCATTCTGAATAATTCATATATCCTTCCATAAAACAAAGATGAAACAAACCAATAAAGGTCCTCATGACAGCATTGGCCTGTTTGACAGCCTCTGCCCTCTGAGCCGAGTCAAACACAAGCCAGTCTATAGCTGCTATCTTCTTCTTGTCCTCCTTCATAAAAAAGATAAAAACCCTCAATTATTGGTGCTGATATGATCTGCAAGTCCTACAATCACTACAACTAGCATCTAGTGGTGCAATATGTTATCTTCCTAATGATGAAAGCCTAGATTCACTAGATTTTCTGTTCAGGTCACAAAATTTTCAAACAAGTTGGTAAATATTATCGTTGAACAATTTACCTCTGTGACGGTGACATCTAGACTGACGTCGGTGGCCCCTGGCAGCCCCGCCCCACTCTTATTACGGATGTTCTCCACCACTGTCTTTGTGATCTGGGGGATGTCCAGGTTCACCTCCTCAGCTAGCTGGAGACAC